TTAGTGGTGAACTGATGTATGACAAGCTGAATATTGTGAGAGCCCTTTGGGATCGAGTAGACAGTGCCTAGGAACAGATAGACCATTACGGTCAGAGGAGAATGACACTGCGAGGAGTTACAAGTGGATCTGGCCGTCGCTCGACACTCAGGGGAAAGGCGAGACAGATATTCTATCAGATAGTTACTGGTACCATCAGAATTTTAACTTTTCGCTTGCTGCTAAAGATGGGACGTAGCGTTTATAGTGGTGTATTGAGTACTGTGATGTCCATTCCTATTTCAACACTCAACATTCAATGTTAGGTGCAGATGGATATGTAAGGAGTTAATTTATCATGTAAGCAACTTACATGAGGGATTTTAATGGTCACTGAGGGTCATATATCAAAAGGGTGCGCGTCATCTCATAGTGTTAGGTGCTGGTAGATCTGTAAGGAGTCAAGTTTTCATGTCAGCTACTTACATATGGGGTTTTACGGGCCACTAACGGTCACTGTGGGTGATGCTATGACATTTATATAGAGTATTAAGGAAAACTTATAGCAACACGGCAGGTGTCGTGTCATGACGGTAGGTGACGTCGCTCAGAAGGGTTTCAGCTGTAGTAAAAAAAAAAGAAATTTATGGAAAATTTCGAATGCCGTATCATAGTTTTAGGTGCCGGTCGATCATAACGGGTTTGAGCTGTAGTAAACAAGGAATGCATTAATCAAAATTGCAATTTTGATAAATGCATTCTTCGTGTCACAGTTTAAGGGACAGACAGCTCAGGGAGGATTTAAGTTGTAGTAAAATAAAAACTAATTCTAAAATAACAGTTATCGTGTCCTAATGTTAGGTTATGGCAGCTCATTAAGAATTTGAGTTATCATGTCATCTAGTTAGGTGTGGGGTGTTAGAGTCTCTAGGGTATATGATTCTATGATTTTTTATACAACAAAATAGAAAAACTGAGTAAATTTGGTTAGTGCCATGTCACAGTGTTAGATAAGAATGTTCAGTAAGAGGGTCAATTCGTCGTGTTGATCATTTAGAGCAGGGTTTTGGGCTGAGGGACACCGTGAGTCACACAATGTACCTCGCAACTTGGTCACTGCTCTTTGTAAACGCTTGGGCGAAATTTCTTGGTAAGTCACTAAGTGTACTTCTCTAGCTGGTCACTTGTTTGCATTGTCGCTCACTTAAGTTTCTTAGTAAGTCAACCACTATCTTCGGACAGCTTAAATGAGCTATCTTTTGCAGGGCGCTCACTGTCTTTATTCCCATTAAATCGCTTGATGTCTTTCTCGTTTGGGACATCTTAAGTCACTCAATTCACTTCTCAAACTGGTCACTAATCTTGGTAGGTCATTTACCGAAGTTCTTTGTTAAGATCAGCCACTCTCCCTGGGACTTTTTTGAGGGTTCGATACATTTCTCCTTTAGGACATCTTATGTCGCTGAATGTACGTACTAAAACTTTACCTGGAATTTCTTCGTAAGTCTTTACAAATGTTCCTTGGTAAAGCGTTTACAGTCCTTGAGAATTTTAAGTCACCAGAAGCCTTTCACCACTGGGACTAAACTCGATGTCTTTCTTCTTTGTAACACATTAAGTCTACATTTCTAGTGAAACACGTTAGTAGGAAGATCAACGATCTGGTCACTAGGTTGTCTTGTATTTAATAAAAGTCTCCTTGAGTGTTTTAATAGTTGCAGTATGTTTTCTAACAGTTGGTGTATGTTTCCTTAAATTCGTCTTGTGTTTCATAAAAGTAGCTATGTGTTTCCTAAATTCGCATATGTTTTTAAAAAAATGCCTAGTATTTTCTAAAAAACGCCTTGTGTTTCATAAGTTAATAATTGCTTTGTAAAAGTCGTCTTGTGTTTTCTTAAAATCTGCAATTCCCTCTTTTCCAACCCCTTGATCCAAGCATTGTGGTATTAGGACAGGTAGCGTGCTGTTGACCATGTCAAATATTGAATGTATCTTAGTCTATTGAAAAAATTGTGGGTATAGCATCATATGACTTATACACAACCGTCGGAAATTTTGATCATCTATTATTTTCTTCAAATGTTTTTTCCTTCTATGATGTGTTCTCTTGTGTTCTTCTTTGATGCATGTTTTTGTTATAAATAAACCTTTGAATGTTTTCACTATACCACTAGAAGGGCTGTACTTGTCTTTGTTTTCATGTTATATTTATGTGTAATTTATTGTTTAAAATTATATATATATATATATATATATATATATATATATATATATATATATATATTATATATATATATATATATATATATATACCACAATTAGCCAGTAGCTAGAATGTTCTACATGAAGGCTACAAGACTAAAGGCCGACCAAGAAAGAGATGGGAGTAGAGGGTGAAAGAGCCACAACAGAATCGTAGTATGACATTAACACAAGCTACACAACATATAATTCCACTTTGCGACGCTTTAAGGCATAGGCAGAATAATTTTAAAAAAAAAGAACATTTTTTGTATTTTTAAGTGCAGTTTTATTTGTTTAAAAATGTGTACTTTCAACCAGTACCATTGCAACTAATGTCCCTAAAAGAAAAGGTTCTCGTCTAAAGACGGTTGCTTCAGTCCCTTGCGTGGTAATTGTAGCTTTTAATTTTTGGACTGTCTAAATGTTTATTTATCAATCTTAGCAAACAAATCTAGTTTCTTTCATCGAGATTTTACCCTAAATCTTCCTGGCATTTACTGGCTGTAAATTCTGGTGGTAAGTTCTGGTTTTGCCATCTTCTGGACTTTGTTATTATTACAGGGCATGAGTCTTACATTTATATCATTTTACAGATCTCACCTATTTGTGTACAGACTGTTGGTTGCCCTAAACCCAGACAGATACGCCGCGACTTCATAGGGAACGACGACCCCATCTACGTTGGCCGGGTTCCCTAGTTGGGAACCTGTTTCCAGGATTACCACTGAGAGTTGTGCCTATGTCTTGACTAGTATGAGCTCTAATCCAGGTGCACCTACATACTTTAACCAACCATCCTTAGGTCTTAGATTAAAATCCTTATCTAGTAGCATTAAAAATTAGACAGAATGACTCATCCTAAAATGTGTACCAGGTAATGTAAGAAAAAGAAAAAAAAAACAGCCGGTGGTATGTTGACCATATCACCCAACGAGCACGGTTTGGTCTATAAAAACATGAATCTAACTGCATATGCTCGAGGCAACATAATCATAGGAAGGAGAGCGGTTGGGTTTTTTTTTAATTGTTGTTGTGGAGGTGGTTGGATTGAACCAGTACTGACCATGATCTTTCTCAACTTCCAAGTGACTGTTCTGGATCAGACTATAGCGTCTGCAGTAAAATCTTTGAGTGACTGTTCATCAACAGCTCCTTTGCAGCAAGTATATAAGTGAAGTAGGAAGTTTCCAAACGGCGCGACTTCCATGCAGACTGTTCCAGGTCGGGTCGGACACAACGAGTAGCGACCACAAAGTCGATTGCAGCCACTGAAGACCTCGTACAGGAAAAACGCCGATTGTTGATCTCATAAGCATACAGCACCATACTGGACTTCATTCGACTTTGACTTGCTGTAGGTTTCACCCACTCACTGATTTAAAACATCAAACTGGATCACATAACTCTGTGTAAGTAAAGAGTGATTCGAGTGAGTAAAGAATAATTTCTCCTGGCTCCGCACACTGAGATAGTATCACCCGGGGACACACAGAGCTAAATTTCAATATTCGGATGATAGCTATCATTAAGACAAATCACATAGTCCCATTTCAACCCTAAAGTTATATTGGGATCAGCCAACGGTTACAAACTAACCTGATGTCCAGGGAGTGTAGGAAGAACTGAGCAAAGAACGTTGCTCCTCGTGTCAGAAGTGGGGCAGTCATCTTTAAACTGTCATTGTGACGTCACTGTATTCATCTGATGTCAAGTGCCTAACTCTCTTACAATCTCTAACAATGGTGGCAGGTCACAAGACACTTGCATGGTTTTTGTAATTTCTTTTACACTTTTAATGTTTTCATTTGACACCACCTCTTACTTACAAGATTTGACTTTGTTAACCTCAGAGAATATTCCTCATAGAAATATAATTGTTGATTTAAACTCTTTAAATACAAAACCTTGACAGCTGAGCTTGAAAGAAAGATACAAGCATTATAAATTTGATGTTTTAGAAAAAATTTTGACATATCATTACCACATTGCACATTACAAAAGAATAGGTTCGCTATAAAATTATACAGCACATTGGCAACAATGAACCTCTTTTAACTGCAGTGAAAAGGCGAACAATGCAATAGTATGGACATGTAACAAGATCTAACGGCCTCTCAAAAAACAATACTGCAGGGCTCATTAGAGGGAAAGAAAAGTCGGAGGCAGACCAAGAACGACCTGGTTACAGAACCTGACCGACTGGACAGGCCTTAGGCATGCAAACATGAAGTTCATCGCAACTGACCGCCAAAGGTGGAGAGATATGATCCGACAGTCAACAGAAACTGCTGACCCAACAACGCGTTGTGTTACGTGATGATGATGATGAAGTACAAATCAATACACCATGTGTGACTTCATTTATTTGTATGCAGCATTATCGACCTCATTGTTTTCAAATTTTAGATTAAATCTCTACCTCGACTGAGTCGGAGGCCCTAAATATAATCTACGGCTTGAACAGTGTTTCTGTGACTTGCGCCCGTTCGATTGTCACCCGAATGGTAGCACTTTGTGTCACCGGGTGTTCATCGTTCTTTGTGCGGTCCTGGTGTGGTTGAACGTCAGTCAGTCAATCATATGCGACAGCCAAAATTTTAGTATATTGGCATATTTTATGTTTAAACAGGGGTAATAAAATACCCAACATCACACAAGTCTCCACCAAGGGTTGTGTATTGAGCTCCTGTGGATATAATATGCCCATGTTTTTGTTGCCTCATCTGGGTATCAGCTATAATTATCCAGGACTGAACAAGGTTACAAACGCCCACAAGTTAATTTCCTTTTAAAATAAAAGGAAGACTATTGTAGTAGGTCAGGTTGCGCGTAGATCTGGTGAAGGTGAGGTTGAACAAGAACTCGTCCAAGCAATGGAGAGCAGCAGGTTGGTGTGTTATGTAAAACTTATTGGCAAACAGTTCGTATCTCTGCATCAGATATGGAAGATCACCGGTAGCGAAGATGCAAATTAGGCGCGTGTGGATTGTTGCACATGGTTCGTTGTCCGTTGACCAGGACACATACTTTGTCAACCAAGGCTTCAGGTCCGGTTTTCCTGCTGTAAAGAATACAAATATTTTTTATTAGCACCATTACTCTGCAGTGCCGTCTATTCGTCACACTGACAGCGCTGTATTTAAACTTTAAAAGATCATAAACTATGTAAACCCCTGATGTTCATAATATATTTAATTACGCCAGCTGATCTAAAAAAAACTTTTAAATATATACACCTTTCAAATATCTGGATAGTGGAAAGACACTGTCGTTTTATTTATATTGGAAGAAATAATAAAGAATGTGCTTGCAAAAATCATATAAATTATGTTAAATATATATAAATTATTTAAAATATATTAATACAAATAATGAATTCAACATATATTAATGGAAACTGCAAAGAACAAAATAAGTAATTGTTTATTAGCTCCTAAATATTGTCCCCCCCCTCCCTCCAGCATTAGCATACTTGGCGTATGCCTAGATCCAGTACTGTACACAGGATTTGTAGTCTACAGCCATCATGTTATATCTTGCGCAATATTTTGAGCACCACAAATGGAATCAGGTCTAGCACTTTTACCTCTGTCATCAGTGTTAACCTTTGGCTTTCTCTTGGACTACCCCCTTTCGTCAGTCCATATCTTCTGTTTCTTTTTTTTCGTTTGTTTGAAAAAGATTATCTAAATCTGCCATGTTGTCTTTTGTATGAACTTCATTGTCTTTTGTAATTCACTCAGCGACCCGTAAAGTTGGACTTGCACCGATGTTTCTCTTGGTTCTCACGGTCCTTTTGTTTTTGTTGTTGTTTTTGTTGTTGTTGTTGTTGTTGTTGTTGTTGTAATGACAGTGACTGTTTGGTAATTCTCTGATCTTTCGCTTCACGATGTGCCCAGTTGATGGCCATCTTCTCTATCGAATGATTGTTGATACCAGCCGTTGTCTAGACATTTCTCATTTTTAGCTTTACTTGAAGTCATCCCATTGAATGTTCATACATTCCCTCAAACATTTATTTTCGCTGGCGACTTACTGGTATTTCATTTCTGTAGTGATTCTTAAACTTTCACTGAAATACTGTCAAACTTAAATAAACAAAAAACATCTCAATCATCACTACAACCTGTTTTTATTTCTTGACCCAGCTGAGTCCAACGTAGCGACATTCTAGTAGACCCTGTTTACGTTTACTCAGTATGGTTCCTATTCAATTACAGTTTTTTTTCTTTCTAGAATACACAAACATTTAAGAAAGTTATTTGATTGCTAGGTTCCGGTGTGTACACGTCATTCCTAAAAATAAACAGAGGGGGAACCCTTGAGGCCTTTAAAAAGTAACAGAAAATGTATTGATCGGCACTCATATAAAGAAGACATAGACTAGACAACATAAAAATCGAAAGTTATAGTTACCGTGCCGGTAACTGCTCCTGTGAAAAACCACATATAATGCCCGTTGCACCCACAGGAGCAGTATTGGCTTGAAATAACATGGTAATGTCCCATACGGCAGTACGAGCTGGGTATACACAGTCCGAAAATTAAATAATTAAATTGATTTCTTAATGGCCAAAACAAAAACGCCATTCATGGAGCAAAGCATGTCATCCAAACGGGCACCGTGCATCTATGATTATGTAACATTGTAACCCCGCCTGGCGAGCAGACGACCTTTAATCCGCCGTTTTGTTTAGGTTGTGAAAACTGCGTCGTTACGTATGCAGAATAAAGGTACTAGCGGATATTAATTATGTTTCAAACTCGGAAAAGTCCTCTTAAGATAGCGTAACTGATTTGTAACAATTATTAAATTTTCAGACCGTGTAGCACGCTACTGCTCCGTGCAGCATGACTGACTTGATATAGCACATTATTGCTCCAAATAGCATAACTGATTTGATAAGCATCTTACTGCTTCACACAGCAGTGCTAACTTGATATACGTAACACATTACAGCTCCACACAGCATAACTGACTTGATATAGCACATTACTACTCTATACAGACTGATTGACTTGATAAGCACCTCACTACTTCATACAGCAGTGCTAAATTGATAAAAGTAGTACTTTACTGCCTCGTATAGCATTTTTAGCTTGATATGGAACTACATTGTGTGTGTGTTTTTTTGTAGTGTTTTTGGCAGATGTTCAACCTCTATGTGTACAAACAGACTTACATGTGGGTGAATTAAACCTTGTACCATTTGTTTTATATGCTGAATTGCCTACACTCTTAATTTCGAGTGACGGCCCCTGGCATATCACCATATATTAATTTTCCCGGCCCCACGTGCCTCGCCAAACAATTGTCTTGACATCGACCTGGCTGCCACGAGATACGAAGATAAGTGATATTGTGTATTTGTGTAGTATTGTCTAATCTAAGTATGTGCTGAAGAAGGCCCCATAGCCGCAACGTTCACGTTTTGTTTGTGTCTGTTATATTGTAAAGATCGCAGATATGCTTTTCGTTCGGTTTTATATCTTTCCATTAAAGATGATTACAGCACCCTCAGCGGGTTGAACAATCAAAGAAGCCAACGGCGCCTTCTCCATAACAATCTGTAGCATGGCGATATAGGTGATGGCAGTAACGCAAACGTTTGCTTGGCTCAAAACACAGTGATTCAATGAGTGTGATCCTAAGGATTCAAACAGGTCTGGTGCGCAATGAGTGGCTTGAGTCATTACAGAAGTCCACTGTGATCGTAGTAACTTTTATTTTCGTTCCGGGAATCGTGAACGTCGATAGGAATGAAAGAGCTGATAGGCTGGCTGGATCCGCTATCACTAGTGAGGGTCAGCCTATGGATCATACTGACATTATTAATGCCTCCCGAGAAATTAGAATGGTGGAGGTTTTGTGGGCAGTAGTTCCACATCACTCGCTAGAATACAGACTTGGGAGTTCAGATCGGCATAGCAAAATACGAGATGCACATTAGACACATCAGATGACTAGTTAATCAACATAGAACTGGTACTATTAGCCACCAGACGCTGGAGTTCATACAGAAGGAAGGATCTGCGCACCTATGGACATGTTAGGAGTGCAATGATGATAACTCAACTAACTCTAACTAACTAACTAACTAACTAACTAACAAACTAACTAACTAACTAACTAACTAACTAACTAACTAACTAACTAACTAACTAACTAACTAACTAACTAACTAACTAACTAACTAACTAACTAACTAACTAACTAACTAACTAACTAACTAACTAACTAAACTAACTAACTAACTAACTAACTAACTAACTAACTAACTAACTAACTAACTAACTAACTAAACTAACTAACTAACTAACTAACTAACTAACTAACTAACTAACTAACTAACTAACTAACTAACTAACTAACTAACTAACTAACTAACTAACTAACTAACTAAACTAACTAACTAACTAACTAACTAACTAACTAACTAACTAACTAACTAACTAACTAACTAACTAACTAACTAACTAATTAATTAACTAACTAACTAACTAACTAACTAACTAACTAACTAACTAACTAACTAACTAACTAACTAACTAACTAACTAACTAACTAACTAACTAACTAACTAACTAACTAACTAACTAACTAACTAACTAACTAACTAACTAAACTAACTAACTAACTAACTAACTAACTAACTAACTAACTAACTAACTAACTAACTAACTAACTAACTAACTAACTAACTAACTAACTAAAGAACTAACTAACTAACTAACTAACTAACTAACTAACTAACTAACTAACTAACTAACTAACTAACTAACTAACTAACTAACTAACTAACTAACTAACTAACTAACTAACTAACTAACTAACTAACTAACTAACTAACTTACTAACTAACTAACTAACTAACTAATGAACATGATTAAAAACGGTTGCTTAACCTCGTTACAAAATTATGTCTGGGAGAAGGGAACGCTCATCCCCTGAAATATTTTGTTTGTTTGAAGGGGTGCCTCAGGCCACATGAGGGCTCTTAAGCTCCTGTGCCTTTGCTGCTATAATACTATACTTCATGTGTCCTGTACTTCCATGGTTATGTACGAATTAATAAATCAATAAAGAACTGACATCACTGCACTCAGGACATTTCCACACGTGCTCCGTCCCCCTTTTCAGTAGCGAATGAAGAGTTAACAGGCTCATAGTAACAGATGCAACCTGATTAATAGTCCGCCCATGTTTCACCTTCAATGATGAATATCTTTCAGAACCTCTACTCAACATCCGTTGAATTAGTCTTTCGCTGTATGGATTCGACTTTCTATTGCACCATTCATTTGATCCCAGAGAGTCTGCACCACGTCCGCAGCAGATAATTTATCAGCCGGCTGGTTAAGTCGCACACCTGAATTTTCTAGAACACAAATCACTGCCACATGATATGTCATTCGCATATGCATAATCTTACCTGTGTAACCACCAGGAACGGCAACCACAGAGCTGTGCTGTAATGTGGCCCAGTAGAACTCGTCTGGGCTATAGATTTCTTTTGCCCACTGTAGCAGATCTTTGGCTACTGGATCGTGGATCACAAACTGGACAAACGCTCTGGAGAATGTCCCGTAGGCGCTTCCTTTCGACACAGTTATGTTGTGTGGAGGGGGTGGGTGTTTCTTTCCAGTGCGATATATGCCTTTTTTACCTGCGAAGAAATACAAGTATACAAAGATATGATTATCCGGCACTGAAAGACTTTCCAAACGCCCACACGTTAATTGCCTTTCAAAAAAAACGGAAGACTATTGAAGTAGGTCGGGTTGCGAGTAGATCTGGTGAAGGTGAGGCTGAACAAGAACTCGTCAAAGCAATGGAGAGCGGCAGGTTGGTGTGTGATGTAAAACTTGTTGGCAAACAATTCGTATTTCGTTAGGGAGAAGAAAATTTTATATTGTCTGTACAAAAGCACAGTGAGGATCAAAACCTGTTTGTGAATTAAAAGAAAACGAAAATAATATCCACAGACAAAACTGGCTGTCACCCAAAAATAACAATGAATGATTAAGAAATTGAAAATGTCACAATCTTTAAATAACTAGCTCTATTACAAATAACAATGAAGACTGACAGAAATTAAAAGGAGGATGGCCACAGCAATGCAAAGATTAAACAGCATTAAATGTCTATGGTTAAGCACCAGCAAGGAGATCAAAATTAGAATTTTAAGAGCATGCATCTTCCCTGTAGCAACATATGGGTGTGAGTCGTGGACTATCTCCAAGTCCCTAAGGAAGAGAATTAAAAAAAAGGGTGGGGGTGGGGTGGCTGTTGAGCTGAAATGCTAAAGAAAGATTCTCAAAATATCTTTAACAAAGAAGAGGAGAAATACTGACATCTTGAGAGACATAAAAATAAAAATTGGTTAATAAACAGCATTCTGTCAGAGAAGCTGAAATATTTTGGTCACATCAAGCACCACGACGGATTGGAAAAAATAATAGCAAAAGGCATAGTACCAAGAAGGAGGGGAAGGGTCCGACCAACACGAAGATGGGCACAGGATATAAGTGAATCCTTGTGTATGAAAGTACGTCAAGCGGGAGAGCTGGCGAGAGGCCCAGTTTCTTTCAGGAAGACTGTGATGAGAGCGACGTTCTGCAAAGGACCTGCTACATTATGATGATGATGGTTTAAGAGTTTTTTGAACACAAAAGCTGATGAAATCCTTGACTTTTCATAGATGAGACATGGTTTCATATCGAGTGATGAAAATCCCCATTCACTGCACTTATACCTCTCCACGATCATTAAGTGGGAATATGGTGTGTTTTGGGTCGTTTGCGCTTAATCGATCCCATTTTCTTCAGCGATACTATAAATTCAGAAAGATACCAGACGACCATTCTGAAACCGTTCATGTCCTAACTTTCTAAATTGGAAATTGAACAAGCCTGGTTTCAGCAAAATGTTGCAACTGTTTACACGGCTTAAAAATATCTAGAATTATTAGATGAAATAGATGTTGCTAGTTGCAAAATCTCTCAATATGTTGAGGCCTCAGAGATGTGGTTTTACAGAAGAATCCTTAAAATTCATTGGACAGCTAAGAAGAGCATTCTAGATGTTCTGAAAGAGACGAGTGCTCACAGACAACTTATGACAAACATTAGAAAGAGACAGTCATCATTTTTGGAGGGGTCACGTTGTGTGAAGAAGGAGATTGGAATATGTTGTAACAAATGGAAAGATCTGTGGAAGGAGAGACCGAGGAAGACAGCGAGAGATGATTCTTGATAGCCTTTTTTTTCCGTCATGGCATAGAGGGCTGTCAACACGTGAACTGATACAACTGACTGCAGATCGTGAACAGTCATAATCCACACACTTAGGCAGGTCACTTGATCAAAACCCCTGTGTGGGTTCCAGGGCCCCGTTGTGGGGAAAACAAGAATAGACCCACTGCCTCCCCAAAAGCATGTCGTAAGAGTCGACTAACTGGGGAGCTTCCTTTGAAGTCGGAGTGCATCTGCCTGAGAGGCAAGGAACCAACAGTCTACATTAAAGAGAATGAGATCTGTAAAACTGATGCACACGCAACACTCAGTAGTTCAGTAGTGGACGAGCAACCAGAACTTACGCCAGAGTGAACAGCTGGTGGACGCGAAGAAGAAGAAAAAGAAGTTGATCAAAAATGCAGTGCATCGTTTCAAATCTAAAGCTGGAGAAAGACGACAATGCAAGATCAAAAGATGCACACACACACACACACACACACACACACACACACACACACAGAGAGAGAGAGAGAGAGAGAGAGAGAGAGAGACAGACAGAGACAGACAGAGATAGAAAGAAAGAAAGAAAGAAAGAAAGAAAGAAAGAAAGAAAGAAAGAAAGAAAGAAAGAAAGAAAGAAAGAAAGAAAGAAAGAAAGAAAGGAAAGAAGAAAGAAAGAAAGAAAGAAAGAAAGAAAAGAAAGAAAGAAAAGAAAGAAAGAGAAAGAAAGCAAAGGCAAGCAAGCAAGCAAGCAAGAAAGCAAGAGAAAGAAAGAAAGAAAGAAAGAAAAAGAAAGAAAGAAAGAAAAGAAAGAAAGAAAGAAAGAAAGAAAGAAAGAAAAAGAAAGAAAAAGAAAGAAGAAAGAAAGAAAGAAAGAAAGAAAGAAAAAGAAAAGAAAGAAAGAAAAGAAAGAAAGAAAGAAAGAAAGAAAGAAAAAAGAAAGAAAGAAAGAAAGAAAGAAAGAAAGAAAGAAAGAAAGAAAGAAAGAAAGAAGAAAGGCAGAAAGAAAGAAAGAAAGAAAGAAAGAAAGAAAGAAAGAAAGAAGAAAGAAAAAGAAAGACAAAGAAAGAAAGAAAGAAAGAAAGAAGAAAGAAAGAAAGAAAGAAAGAAAGAAAGAAAGAAAGAAAGAAAGAAAAAAAGAAAGAAAGAAAGAAGAAAGAAAGAAAGAAAGAAAGAAAGAAAGAAAAGAAAGAAGAAAGAGAAGAAAGAAAGAAAGAAAGAAAAAGAAAAAAGAAAGAAAGAAAGAAAGAAAGAAAGAAAGAAAGAAAGAGAGAGAGAAAGAAGAGGAGAAATACTGACTTTTTAAAAGATCTGAACATCAAGGAAGATTGGCTAATAAACAAAATCTTGTCTCAGAAGCTAAAATCTGTTGGCCATATAAAGCGTCACGCTGGACCTGTTGGGGGGTGGGGGGGGGGGGATAACAACAGAAGGCATGGCACAAGGAAGGATGGCGAAAAAAAAATTAATTATCTTTCGAGATTAAAATCTTTAATAATGACAGTTTTTAATTCTCCAAAATGTCGTTAAAAGAAATGTCTCTTTATAATTTTCTGAAGCTCTACCCTAAGAATCTAGCGGAAAGAAGAAGACAATGCAAGGAAATTTTGAGTCTTGGCCAGTTTTAATAAAGTCACTAAAAGAGATGCATTTTTAGATGAAAGAACGAAATCACTAAAGACAAACGAAGCAAAGAAATTACTGCTTTCCTTCCCTTTGACAATTTACAGTTAGTGTAATTCTCATGTAGCTTCTCCAATGACCCATGCTGTTCCACATATCACTTTCACTATTTGTAACCCTATGTGTTTTTTCGTACACCTCTCGATCTAAAAATATTTAAAGAAGGTTACAAATGTCAAAGAATCATTGAGTTAAAGTGATACCTGTATGGTATTAAGAGAGTTTAATTTGCATGAATGCCAACATTAACTAAAAGGATGGAAAGGTGGGGTATAATCAGTATTGACTCATTATTAACAGCATGTTTTTTACAGAACGTCGCTCTCATCACACAGTCGTAGAAAAAGTCTCCATTTCCCTTTCTCCCTCTCTCCCACCCCCCCCCCCTCTCTCTCTCTCTCTCTCTCTCTCTCTCTCTCTCTCTCTCTCTCTCTCTCTCTCTCTCTCTCTCTCTCTACAGCCCTGTGATCTTTCAAAGGCAATGTATCTTCAATGTCTTGCATCCGCGAAGGTTTGTTTTCTGGAAAACGTACTCTGCATCCTAGTTTTCTCCAGACCGCTATGACGTCTAGCACGGCTAAAATACCTCAGCTTTCCGGACAAATGCTGTTTGTGAGCCAGGTTTAATGAACACAAATGTATAAATCTTCCCAATCTGCCGCCCTGCCACTTACCTGTTTTTGTGTCCGTATAATATTCGGCTTTGACCCCATGCCAATGAGCGAATGTACGCTCCCCAGTGAATCCCAGTATATCATTAGCACCGTTGTATATCTTTAGGATCTTCACCATTTCAAGGTTTGTTCTGAAAGACAATTTACATGGTATGTTAGAAAATGTCGAAGCATTATCAACTAATTTGTAATAATTATTAGGAGACAAAAACATGAGAAATTTGTGGCAACTGGTAAACTTGAAGGGAAATCGGGGGGATTTAAAAAAAATAATCTGGCTTGCCTGACTACATGATATGTGGTCGATCTATTTCTTGTCCCCTTTTGGTTCTTATGGGAGCCGCTGTGGTGTAACGGCTAGACGCTCGCTTGCGCATCTGAAAGTCGTAGGCTCGAATCCGAACGGAATCAGACTTTTTTGAAAAATATCCTTGGCTCCCAGGTTGATCCAACCTTAAATGGGAACTAGGTAAAATCCTGGGAAGTAAAGGTGACCAGCGTATTGTTCACCACATCACACACCGAATGCCGATTAGTCTATCAAATATAGGTACAACTGTACATGCCCAATATGTCTGAATGCGTGCAAAAGGGTCTTTGACTTTACTTTTTATTCCCAGGCAGTAGATAGTCGTACTTAATCGGACATTTTGTTGTCTGCGCAGTTTTCGGTTGACCACATAATCTCACTCATCAGAAATTACTGAAACATTACCTTTGTCTTGATACCGTCGAAAGTATGTCTTTACTTTCCATGACAATTTCATGATACCAATTGTAGGATGCGTCTAGCCAAATCAATTATTGAAATTCCGCTCGGTTTAAAATGGAACGGAATAATTTTGGCAAGCATGGAAACAACTAGCCCATGCGCTACCAGGATACCGCCCTTTCGTTCGTTCGTTCAATTCGTTTGTTCCTATTAAAACAGCCATGTTAAGCCTCTGACTAAGGAGATAGCCACGTCCAAGTCAGTATCGGCTATAATTATGACAACAAACGGTGTTGATATTTCATTGCGTAATGCTTACATTTCGTTTCTTTCTGGCTAATCAGAAATCAACATCTTAGTTGGAAAAATCCACAGATCGACTGGCTGGGAAAGCTGCTAGCTGATCGGTTAGATCGCCATATTCTCTTACTGAGTTTGAGAAATTGATTCTCAGTAAACTAGGAGGATTGTGTTTTCAGTCGGGGGACAACAATGGAAAATTCTAGCCTGTATTGTTCTAGGAGTGTGCACTAGTCATGTGGTAATAAGGTGATAAATACAGACAGGAAGTTATCCATGTCCCATAACACTGCATGTCGTTGGGTCAGCTACTTCCACCTTTACGAATCAGGTGCGATAGACTTCATGGCTCCGTGACTAAGGCCTCTGTAGTCGGTCAAGTTCGGCTGCCCGGCCGAAACGTTACCTTATTTGTGTTGTTTTAACACGTTTTTCTGCTTCCCCATTTGGTTAAACTTTTTAGACAAATTTCCCTGGAATTCCTGGTTTTATAGTGGTATGATAGTAACACCTCGAACAGATCAAAGGCTTATGGAGATGTCTTGAAGGAAACTAATTTACAAATAGAGGCCACGTGTTCATAAGAAACATTGGCCTAGACAGCAGAACACACACTTCAAACTGCTCCGATTATGACACATCAAGGCAAACCTTGAGGCCGAAACGAGAAATAGTGGAAAGTAACCTCTATGGTCCAATGAATACACTGAAAACAACATTGAAATTGCACGCGAGACAAAATTACAGACATAGAGCGTATTTCAAAAGAAAAGAAGAACAAAAGAAGAGGAATTACCCATACCAGATCGGGACAGTTAACATTTTTGGTGTACGCCAAAGAACACTTTAGTACGAAAAGGAAGAAAGGAAGGGAAGACAAGGAGAGAAGATGCTGGACAGAACGGCATCTTAGCATGGAGGGACACATGTATGAAAATGACCAAGAAGAAACACAACAAAAGACTTTGGGCAGACGTTGCAACATATTCTAGGCGTTCGTCAACCTCCAGACTTTACTCTTTTTTCAAAACCTGAACGTTCCCCTCATGTCGTTTTACAGATATGACTTATGTGTATGCAGACTGTAGGTAGGTAGGCATCTTGTACCTCACCAGGACAGGACATCACACAAGCAATAAACACCCGATAACACAAAGTTCCACCATTGGATGATGATCACCCGTCCTCCTTGCATTTAAGGATAGATACACTTCGGCTTCGAAGGAAGCTCACAGTTAAAAGACTCATACGAAATGCTTTCTGAGGACTCAGGGTGTCCACTCTTGATTGCCCCAAAACGGGTTCCTGGAATCCACACAGGAAGTAAAACCGTCAGAAATAATAGTAAATTAATTTACACACACACAATAACCTCAGAGGAAACTCCTGGCCCGCCATATTGATAGCGTATTTCCATTGCACAGGATGCTTCAGTAGATCTTTCATACAATTGATATCCGACTGTAATCTGGAGAATCCAGCATAGACGACATGCTCCAGCTTGCTGGCCACGAACACGTTGGGGAGGCATTTGGCAACTAACTTTACAGCCCGCAGAAAGTCTACGCTGACACTGGTGTCCACGCTCAGGCAGTAAACATTGTGCTGATGGTACAGTGAACGTAGCAAATAGAGCGCCTTTAAAAGTGGAAAAACAAAAGCGTGTTATCATCTCCCGGGCAAGAATGTCTACAATTTATCTTCGTAATATAGCAAAACGTGATCCTTGTCTCGAAAGTTCGTTTAAGTGTATTCATTGGGGGGGGGGGGGGGGGGGGGGGGGTCGAGAAACGAAAGCGTTGTAAACCCTTTAGCTCGCTGCTATGGAGGACGCAACACTTTGTCCCCGCCTCCGTGATAGATACCGTAATTCTAGGATAATTTGTGTGGGTTTCCTGCCTACCCCCGAGTGCGAATTCAGACCACAAGGAGTTTGTCACCCAGTCGCCGCTCAGCTGGATTAAACAACTTAGCTAGCGCGCCGGGCAAGTGTATCGATAGAAGCGGTGGTAGACCTCACGCTTTCTCAAAGCTGGGCAGAATTATAAAGGTCGCATACGCTCCATCGATACTTGACTGTGTGAGGGAGTGGTTAATGGCTGTCGACCTGCCTGGTTGCAAAAGGTACCCAGAGTTAATCTGGAAGACCGGCCTTCATCCCGACATAAACTGACCGTGTCGTATGAGTCACGAATGGACGAAAATCACATGTACAAGCTCGAGACGTTCTGTGATCTCGCGGCTGGTCTGAGAAGAGACGAAGCGTACGCAGTAAAATTCTTCGCCGTCGAGGTAGGCGCAAGAGGTCTTATCTCTACTTTCATGTACAGTATACTAAAGCAGCTGGGCTTGCGAGTAAACGATCACTAAAGCAACTAGGCGAAGCTGCTGAAAGTGATTCGAGCTAGGTCTGGACGCAACAGAACGTCGTGGGTGACAGGCCTCTGTAGTCTGGTCCGGGTCTTTAGTGGAAAAGAACGTCTTATCCCTTAAAGGGCCAGGGTGTCTGAAATGTCTTCCAGCGTCCCTCTGGCAATTGCAAAAGTCTAACATGTGTCAGATGAACACACCGTAAGCTTGTCTTTTGGTAGTTAAGGTATGATCTAATAGGCTAATATCTATGATCTAATAGCGACACTACATATATTTAACTTTGAATCTCACACTACCCATGGCAAAGTCACCATTTACGTCTTATACCTTGTCCGAGAACATCCGGTAACTGCAGCGGAGAAAATCGAGGCCTGGGAGTCATGACCCAGGTCGGCCCACTCTCTGAAGTTATCTAGGAGCTAATGGGCCGAAACAATTGTCGATGAAGGATCTTCTACTGATGATCGGTAGACTCCTGCTGTTCATGTTCCCCTGTGGAGTTCTTTTTATTGTGTTTTACTTGCTGTTCTGAGCGAATGCGTATATCTTGATGTTCTCGGACTTCAAGTATGAAATGAATTTACTTGAGTTGCCAGCGTTGACGGTTTTTAACAGCTCTGAAACCACTGCAAGCAGGATGCAGTCTTTCGTGAGACGAAGGATGCGCCTGTCGGGTGTGGGGAGAGGGTGGTTAGGGAAAGCTCTAGATATTCTAGGGTGGTTGAAACCGGCCACATCCTGTAATATAGAGCTCGCGTGATCGCCGCTACAACCTGACACCCTTTTAGGATAGCGCAGCGGGTTCAAAGGTTAAGACGAAAGCATTATCGCCGTCTCCCTGGTCCCGACTTATTGAGTTGTACCGAAGCAGTAGCAAACAAAACTGGCTATCTTTTTCTGTTCTCTGCTTTTTGAACACGTGTATAGTAATTTAGTCGCGTCCATTTATAGATGTTTTAATTCCAGATTCTTCTTTACCCAGTCTACATCGACTTCTCCCCAATGTTCATTAAAGTATAGCATTTGCCTTTGAATCATGTCTTACCACGTAGGTAAAAGTAAGAGTAAAGGACCCTTTTCCACGCCTTTAGGCGTATTGGGCATAAAGGGCTAGACATATTTTTTAAAGACCATTCAGCACATGATAGGTGATGAAGTCAGCATTACACCGGCCGCCTTTACTTCCCATGACTTTCCCAGATACTCACTGAAGGGTGTGTCTACCTGGGAGCCAAGGTCATTTCTGAAAATAAGTCTGGCCCGTCAGGGAGCGATCCGCAAGCGAGCTCCTAGCAGCTACGCCAGGGCGATCGCATGTATTACCACTTGGCGAAACAAACTACCTTGTAATGTTTTCCACTGTGAAAAGAGGCTTCTGATTTCCTGCAAATTTGTTTATTGTATCTATATACAATTCTTTTATTCTTCTGTTTCTGTTATCGACCCATTCTTTTTCTGTACATTTTATTACTTTTACACACGCCTGTCCTGTGTGGGTTATCTCTTTATCCTAATAGTTACCTAATATAATTGTCCTTTTCTTTTTCTCTTTTGCTTCTCCCTTAGCCTAACAAAATGACTCATTTTGTTTGCTATCTCAAAATATCCCGGATTTTCTGGATCTGCTTATCAGGAATTCCTCTTTTATCTTGACCCCACCAAGAAGTTTCATTTCTAACTTTTTATAAAGTTTATTATTCAGGTTCAGCACGCTCAACATTTCTCTAAATGTTGTCTCTATATGTCGGCTCTGTGGCTAATCGATGCGAACGCTTTGTAATGTCGGGATGCCGGGTTCGATCACAGCTGCGGGCCATGTGCCTTGCGTTAGTTTCTACAGTGGTATCAAGAGAGCCAACCGTCCAGAAAGCAATAGCAAACTACTGGACGTACATTTGCCTAGAAAAACCGCACAACAGCCAGGAGCGGTTTGGGTTAGTTCTGCAACGTTCTGTAAAGGATACACAACTAACCTTGTCTCTATATAATATATAACTTGGGTCGATACTGGTTACGTTTGTTTCCGCAAAAGTCATCTTCTCGCCATTGTGTGAGATTTCCTGGGCTTCCATTCATTGCCGTAGCCTTTCACAGAAACTGCTGTATCTTCTAGGGCTGTGAGGATAGTATGTGAAAAATCGTTCGAAGCCCTGGGTGGCAAGTGACGAAGATGTTATTTCGTCTTTCTTGTTCTTTGTTTATATGTGGGGACGAGTGCTCGACTAACTTTTAGTTTCGGTGTGAACTGCGTATCTTCTGTGAGCGTCTCTGTTTTAAGAATTTGTGTCATTTTGAGGCGGGCTGTAAAAAAGGGCAATCTGGTTGGGGTTAGGGTTAGGTTATATTTGCAAACATTATAATAGCTACGATATTTATTAAAGCCAGTTTTCTCATCTGTAAAAATCAAAACCCAAGACTGTCCATTAAATAAAATAGAAAAAAAAAACAAAAAAAAACAGGAAACCTTAAGGGCAACTTAAAAACGATCATCGGGGGAGGGGGGGGGGGCAACACAGTGGAAGCTGTGAGTTTTACAGATGCCTTGTTGCTGTCGAAAAGTCACAGTGCTTTGCTTGTCACCCGCTCACGACGCGAAACACCGAACGCTTGGACGACCGAAAACAAGACAACGTGACACCCCTAGAAGATACAGCAGTCCGTCAAAAAGGTCATGGCCTATCAATGGAAGCTCAGAAAATCTCGTGCGACGGCGAGAATAAGACACACACGTGAGATGCACTCTTGGATTTTCAGAAAATATCTTTCCAAAAGATTTATATTCAATGTAATTTACTACTCTAAAATTTTTTTTTACCTTTGTAACTTACTATTCAAATTCGGGGAGTCGCTGTGGTGTAGCGGCTAAACGCTCACCTATGCATTGGAAGGTCGTGGGTTCGAGTCCTGATGGAGCCCGACGTTTTTCAGAAATTACCTTGTCTTCCAGGTCGACGCAGCCTTGAGTACATACCAGGTACGTCCTGGGAAGTTAAGGCGGTCGGTATGATGCTTATCACATTAGTCTATAAATATAGGGTCTAGCCCTATATGCCCAAAAAGCCTGAAGGTGGGGTAAAAGGTCCTGTATTTTTACTTTCGTTTCACTCACAATCTTACATGCACAGAAACTGTAACACAGACAAGACTACTTGCTCTACCTGATCAAGATCCGAGTAAAAGAGAATAATGAAAGCAATGGGGAAGTCCAGCTCTTCCTGCGAGGCTGCCAGATACCTGTTGTAGCCATACTTCTCGATGAAAGATTTACAGTCCGAGGCATCGGCGATGATATCTATTGGGTGAGTCCGCTTCACTTCGGAAGGAAATATAATGGTATTGACTTTTGTTTTCAACGCTGTTGGACAGTCTCTTCCATACATTTCTGGAAAACCTATCCATTTTTTCCGATACGCTTCCGAAATATCACTGCTATTGTTGGGAATAAGCTTTAGTTGTTTTGTTGCCTGTTTGCCAGAATCCAGGTATTCAGCGGTACTGCTATTTTCATATTCTGTATTGTAAATTGGCTTTATCAAGCTTAGAAAATCACGATGAAGCTCATAGTTGGCTCCGTAAACTGTGAGCAGGAATACAATGAGGATCGCAGCTATGAAAGCTTTGAATAATTTCCCTAGAAAGAAATTTTGTGTGTGTAAACATCTAAAATAGGGGTACAGTTAATGTTATGTAAAGTGAGTTATGATAGAAAAAAAGGTGGCAAGAGTGGTAGGGAAGTTGAAAGTATCTTCATTGTCAACATTATTAATAATTGAGAACCAAATGAATATATATCACGTCATCTCAAAGAAATAAAGTTAAAGAGGAAATGGAACTTTACTACTCATCTGGATTTATGCCATTTAACATAAACCCAATAGTGAATTTCAAAATATGATCCGTGTTAACGTTCAAACTATTAACATAGATCTATTTCATAACTTAGAACTCGCCGTAGTGTGGAGGCTAGAAACTCACCTGTGCAACAGAAGGTCGTGGGTTTGGATTCTGACGGAGACGCTTATTTCGAAATATGACCTTGGCCTCCAGGTCGACCCAGCAATGAGTGGGTACAAGGTGGAATCCTGGGAAGTAAAGGCGACCGGTGTGATGCTGACCACGGCACAACAAATGCTGATTGGTCTATAAAATATAGGTCTATTCCTACATAGCCAATGCGCTTGAAGGCGTGGAAAAGGGTCCTTTACTTTACTTGTTATCTCAGAACTTGTTATTCACTAGCAGTAGTAAAAGACATATAGGAAGGGTTTAGTCCAAGCAGTGTAACTGTGCAAGGGTGTTTTGCGAAATTAGACACACAGAAGCTGCTAGTGCTGGAAAAAAATAAATGTTTAAAATGTGTAGCAAAGTGATAAATGATTATAACTGTTGGTTTTGGTTAATTTCCTTTCTAGAAACAAAGTGCCAGAATTGCTACCAAAACCATTGGCCCCCTTCTTGTAAGAGAATGATTCATCCTTATTAGCAGGCAATGAAGGAATGAATGAGTGAAGAAATAAATGAAAAAAATGAATAAATGAATCAAGAATTGACATCACTGCACTCTGGACATTCCCATACGTGCTCCATCTCCCTCTTCAGCAACGAAGAGTTGAAATGCTAATAGTACAAGCCGCAACCTGATTAAAAGTCCGCCTCTATTTCCCCTTCAGTGTTGAATATCTTCCATATCCTCCACTCCTGAGAATCAAATGACAGGACGTGATTCCCAATATTGGTTCTCACTAAGGTAATCCTGAGAAGCATCCACATATTACTGAAGAAATATCAAACCCTCTGGATTGTTGACCTAACTCGCATTTGAGACCATTGGCTTCCAAAGAGAATATTCACGTCTTATTGTTTAGATAGATACTCGTGGCTAGGGATCATCGCTCTACCTAGAAAGTATGTGTTTTATGCAACCCTTCTTGACACGAGGCAGGTCGTTCTGCGGAAATGGGCCGAGTTTAGTAGGATGAAACCAATTTTCTCGTCTTCTTCATTCTCCTCATAAATCTGTTAATTTTTTTTAAATTGCATATGTATTTGACTTTATAGATTTACTGAGTACTCAGTGGTTTAATATGAAAGTAAATGGTTATCAAAAAATGAGTCTTACTGCCGGGACAAGTTGGGTAGTACATGGCAGCCAGCTGTGACTTTTTGCGCCTGTTGCTCAGATTTTCGATATAGCTTGTGCCTCTGCCTAGAAAACACAACAAAAACTATGATTATGATGCCTAATGGAACTGTGTACGTGTATGATAGGGTGTGATAATGTACGAGTAGGTTTGATTATGTATATGATTATGAATGTAAGAGAGTATGCGCGTTAATGTGGTTGAACACATGTGTGTGTGTGCGTGTGTATGTGTGTTTACTTAGATGTACAGGTGTGTATATGTCTGTAGAGTATGAATTGTAGGTGTGTAAGCATGAGCGTGTGTATACATATTTGCATGTTTGTATACTGAAATGCATGTATGTGCCATCCTTGCTTTTGTGCGCGTGTGTGTGTGTGTGTGTGTGTGTATTTTTTTGCCCGTACACTCGTATTATGTGTTTTGCAATATGAACATGACACCACACAAGTACAGTTGATGTGTAAAAGATGAATGTCATGGCTCGTGTTGTAGGGCGATAACAGATAAATCTGCTCAAGTTTGTGATAATTTTCTACATAGCAATGCATCAGTTCGGCGTGAGGGTGACCACACAACCAATCCAGTGCCAAATGTTCTGTGCAATTATGAGTCTAGAATCATTTGTCTTGTATACTACTGATGTAAAAAAGACCTTTTCTTTTGACTGTTCTTGTCATTTTATTAGAGGTCAATCTTTTTTTCTTTGCAGTTTTCCTGACGTTTTTTTTAAAACTACTCATGTCCAAATGGCATTTCAATTAATCATGTCTCCATGACATTTCAATTACTCATGTCCACATGGCATTTCAATTAGTCATGTCTACATGACATTTCAATTACTCATGTCTACATGACATTTCAATTAATCATGTCTACATGACATTTCAATTACTCATGTCTACATGACATTTCAATTAATCATGTCCACATGACATTTCAATTACTCATGTCTACATGACATTTCAATTAGTCATGTCTACATGACATTTCAATTAGTCATGTCCACATGACATTTCAATTACTCATGTCTGGTAATCTGGTAATCTGGTAATCCTAGTTTCAGCATCATAGCAAACGGGTCACCCCATTGTTGCTCCGCTCCTGTGCCAACGAAAAACACTCGTAGCTCACAGTGTCACACCATGCACTCAACTCAGAAGCTGGGTGACGAAACCATATCCTTCCAGTCTACAAATGGAGCAAAAAATGCAACGGCCACCGCCTGGCAGAACTGCCACGGCTAAAAAAAAAAAAAAAAAAAAAAAAAAAAAAAAAAAAAAAAAAAAAGTGGCCGTGCCTAGCGTCCACTGTGACTTGAAGCATTATGTGAGGGGTTAACAAATGGTCACCCCAGCAGTACCCTCACTATTAGCTGGGAAAGGGACTTAGGACATTACATCCACCAGCAGGCGTCGCCCCTACAACGACCTGACTGCCTTCGTTAACGACTGTTCACCCAACAGCCATGCAGTTCTTTGGCACGAAGGAGACACCTTGAACTTGGGTTTCGGAATGCCGACTTCCTACAAAATGTTATTTTGTGTTTTGTTATCACAATCGACGTCACTGCACATTACTCATTATTACTCATGTCTACATGACATTTCAATTAATCATGTCCACATGACATTTCAATTAATCATGTCCACATGACATTTCAATTAATCATGTCTCCACCTCTGCGGTATGTTTAGTCATTGCCCCTAGTAATGCTAAGACCAGTATTTAACAATGCGGCAGACAGTCATATGTATTGTTTGTTATATAGGCGGAAAGTTCTGGACCTTAGTCTTCATCCAGAACTTCAACTTTTCGTGCACATCCGTTTAATTGATCTGGCATATGTGTACGCAGACACCTCGTTTCTCTCAGCCTATCATCATCGTCATGTAGCAGGTCCTTTGCAGAACGTCGCTCGCACCATGGTCTGTCTAAAAAAAAACTTAGTCACTCACCAGCTCTCACGCCTCATGCACTTTCACACTCAAGGAGTCACTTATCTCCTGTGCCCATCTTCGTGTTGGTAGGCCCCTGACACTCTTTCCTGGTACCATGCCTTCTGCTATAATTTTTTTCAATCCGTCGTGGCGCTTGATATGACCAAAATATTACAGCTTCCGAGACAGGATGCTGTTTATTAGCCAATCTTCCTTGATGTTCAAATCTTTCGAGGTGTTAGTATTTCTCCTCGTAGAAGAATAAGAAGAAGAAGAAGGAAGATAAGCAATAAGAGAAGAAGAAGAAGAAGAAGAAGAAAGAAGAAGAAGAAGAAAAGAAGAAGAGAAAAGAAGAAGAAGAAGAAGAAGAAGAAGAATAAGAAGAAGAAGAAGAAGAAGAAGAAGAATAAGAAGAAGAAGAAGAAGAAGAAGAAAGAAGAAGAAGAAGAAGAAGAAGAAGAAGAAGAAGAAGAAGAAGAAGAGAAGAAGAAGAAGAGAAGAAGAAGAAGAAGAAGAAGAAGAAGAAGAAGAGAAGAAGAAAGAAGAAGAAGAAGAAGAATAGAAGAAGAAGAAGAAGAAGAAGAGAATGAAAGAAGAAGAAGAAGAAGAAGAAAGAAGAAGAAGAAGAGAGAAGAAGAAGAAGAGAAGAAGAGAAGAAGAAGAAGAAGAAGAAGAAGAAGAAGAAGAAGAAGAAGAAGAAGAAGAAGAAGAAGAAGAAGAAGAAGAAGAAGAAGAATAAGAAGAAGAGAAGAAGAAGAAGGAAGAAGAAGAAGAAGAGAATAAGAAGAAGAAGAAGAAGAAAGAAAAGAAGAAGAAGAAGAGAAGAAGAAGAAGAAGAAGAAAGACGAGAAAGAAGAAGAAGCAAAGACGAAGAAGAAGAAGAATAATTAAGAAGAGAAGAAGAATAGAGAAGAAGACGAAGAAGAAGAAGAAGAGAGAAGTAAGAGAGAGAGAAGAAGAAGAAGAAGAAGAAAGGAGAAGAAGAAGAAGAAGAGAAAAGAAGAAGAATACTCAGAAGAAGAAGAATAAGAAGAAGAAGAGAAGAGAAGAAGAAGAATCAAGAAGAAGAAGAGAGAAGAAGAATAAGAATAAGATAGAAGAAGAAGAAGAAGAAGAAAGATAAGAAGAAGAAGATAATAAGCAAGATGACTATCGAAAGAAGAAGAAGAAGAAGAAGAAGAAAAGAAGAAGAAGAATCCTCCTTACTCAATAATCCTCCGAATGAAGAAGAAGAAGAAAAGAGAATCAGAAGCCTCCTACCTCCTCCTAGAAGAAGAAGAACTCAAGAAGAAGAAGAAGAAGAAGAAGAATAAGAAGAAGAAGAAGAAGAAAGAAGAAGAAGAAAAGAAGAAGAAGAAGAAGAAGAAGAGAAGAAGAGAAGAAGAATCCTCAAGAAGACTCCGAAGAAGAGAAGAAGGAAGAGAAGAAGAAGAAGAAGAAAGAAGAAGAAAAGAAGAAGAAGAAGAAGAAGAAAAGAGAAAGAAGAAGAGAAGAGAGAAGAAGCCTCCTCACGAAGAAGAAGAAGAAGAAGAAGAAGAAAGAATAAGAAGAAGAAGAAGAAAGAAGAAGAAGAAGAAGAAGAAGATTCAGAAGAAGAAGAAGAAGGAAGAAGAAGAAAGGAAGAAAAGAAGAAGAAGAAGAAGAAGAAGAAGAAGAGAAGAAGAAGAAGAAGAAGAAGAAGAAGAAGAAGAAAGAAGAAGAAGAAGAAGAGAAGGAAGAAGAAGAAGAAGAAGAAGAAGAAGCCTCCTCCTCAAGAAGAATACTCCCTCCCTAAGAAGAAGAAGAAGAAGAAGAAGAAGCTGCCTCCGAAGAAGAATAAGAACGAAGAAGAAGAAGAAAGAAGAATAAGAAGAGAAGAAGAAGAAGAAAAAGCAAGAAGAAGAAGAAGAAGGGAAGAAGAAGAAGAATAAGATAAGAAGAGAAGAAGAAGAGAAGAAGAAGAAGAGAAGAAGAAGAAGAATTAAGAAGAAGAAGAAGAAGAAGACGAAGGAAGAAGAAGAAGAAGAAGAAGAAGAAGAAGAAGAAGAAGCCCTCCTCTTCCTCAGCCTGCACTCCCTCCTCATTCTCCTCCTCCTGCCTCCTCCTCCTGCCTCCTCTCCTTCCTCCGCCTCCATCCTCCTTCCTGCCTCCGCCTCCTCCTCCAGAAAAGAAGAAGAAGAAGAAGAGAAGAAGAAGAAGAAGAAGCCTCCTCCTCCTCCTCCTCCTCCTCCTCTAGAAGAAGAAGAGAAGAAGAAGAAGAAGAAGAAGAAGAAGAAGAAGAAGAAAGAAGAAGAAGACGAAGAAGAAGAGAGGAGAAGGAGGAGGACGGAGGAGGAGGAGGAGGAGGAGGAGGAGGAGGAGGAGAGGAGGAGAGGAGGAGATGAGGCAGGAGGAGCTCCTACCTCCTCCTCTCCTCCTCCGGAGTGAAGGAGTAGGAGGAGGAGGAGGAGGAGGAGGAGGATGAGGAGGAGGAGAGAGGAGGAGGAGAGGAGGAGAAGAAGAAAGAAGGAAGAAGAGAAGAAGAATAAGAGAAGAAGAAGAAGAAGAAAGAAGAGAAGAAGAAGAAGAAGAAGAAGAGAAGAAGAAGAAGAAGAGAGAAGAAGAAGAAGACGAAGAAGAAGAAGAAGAAGAAGAAGAAGAAGAAGAAGAAGAAGAAGAAGAAGAACGAAGAAGAGAAGAAGAAGAAGAAGAAGAAGAAGAAGAAGAAAGAAGAAGAAGAAAGAAAGAAGAAGAAGAAGAAGAAGAAGAAAAAGAAGAAGAAGAAGAAGAGAAGAGAAGAGAAGAAGAAAGAAAGAAGAAGAGAAGAAGAAGAGAAGAAGAAGAAGAACGAAAGAAGAAGAAGAAAAAGAAGAACAGAAGAAGAAGAGAGAAGAAGAGAAGAAAGAAGAAGAAGAAGAAGAAGAAGAAGAGAAGAAGATAAGAAGAAGCTAAGAAGAAGAAGAAAGAAGAAGAAGAACGAAGAAGAGAAGAAGAGAAGAAGACGAAGACAAGGAAGGAAGAAGAAGAAGAAGAAGAAGAAGAAGAAGAAGAAGAAGAAGAAGAAGAAGAAGAAACGTTTGCGTTAATTTTCATTTACCTATAACATACTGATTATTACATACCAAGGTCGTCCCCATGTGGGACGCAATTTTTCGTTATTTTGAAGCCCGACCATGGCTTTTCCAGGGGGCCGCAATAAAGCCTGACGGTTGAAAGCGGTTTCTGGGACCTCTCCGTGTGTGATCCTAATCCGCGTGGTGGCACTTTGTGTCACCGGATGTTTATCATTTTGTGTGATGTTCTGGTGGCGTTAAATTTACCTACCTACCAACATGCTGATTACTGCATATTTTAACAGTTTGTGGTAATGTACGCTAGAAACGAAGAAAACACTTACATTTATTAGCTTATTCTATGTTAACTTCCAGAGGAAAGTGAAAAGATGTGTTTTCTTCTATACATTGTATTTCAGTTTTTTCCTTTTTGTCCTCTTTGCAGATTTATATACAAGTTCTCACTAAGCTCTCTTAAAGTAAAAAGATATGTTTGTTACTGAGTATATAATAATTTTCTTTTATACGTCGTATTTCAGTTTTCTCCTTTCCTACCCCTTCCTTCGCGGATTTGAATAAAGCTGTTCCCTAAGCTGCCCTAATGGACACTAAGTTAGGGTCTGTACAATGAAACATCTAACGCAGGTGACTTGTATATAAATGCCCCATTTGAGCTTGCTTTGCCTTCGGGCTGTTGAGAATCTACAGACCATGAAATATTTTAGATAGTGAATTTTTATTGTGAGTGTCGAATGTTGCGCTAAGAACTAAACACAACCCTGGGGACATTTGCATTAGCGCATCTTAGCAGCCAACGAAGAGTTCATGTTCTGATGGTGGCAGCAGCAGTTTGATTATAAGGCCTGTTGCCTTTTCTCTTAAGGTAGAGTGTCGAGAAGATTCTATGGTCCGCCTAGCTGTACCGTTTTCTCCAGGCCATAATTATATGTTCGTGTTTTCGCATTGCTTATTTGCTGAAAAAGAGCATTGGGCACATACAGCTTACCATGCATAAATTCACTATTATTCCTTGGTGTAAATGCAGTCAGTTTTACTATTTGTTTATTTTTGAACACTTCCGCATTCCGGGAGAAAATATCTAAACAACGCTAACTAGACGTGATCTCTGAAGCGATGCTTGCCACTCTGCAGAAAGCATGCATGACTCTACCTATCTTAACATGCTTTGTGAGTCAGTCTCTAATCGGACAATGTGTGTGTAGCTGGTTCTCAGGCAAACGTCAAGCTTTCGTGACTGCCTCTACCTCCATTCTCAAACCAGATGTTTGTTGTAAAAAAAAAAGGGCACTTCTGCTCTCTGTAGCACAGCTACAGCTGCCTTGCAGAGACTGGCCAGCAAGTGCCACGGAGGTGGAAATTCAGCAATTAATTCAAGATAATACTCCCTCAGAGGATTTGATGATTTACACAGACTGTTCAGTGTCAAGGGGCAAAAGAATTGCTTAGGGCTTCTTAGCAAAGGTTATTGGTCGACGCTTGGTGCAGGGGAGCCTAGCATATGATACCACAACATCCCGCTTAAAAATGGAGGTGAAGGCGGTCACTGCAGCTTTCCGCTGGCTAGAGAATACGACACACACACACACACACACACACACGCCCGCACGCACACACACCGTGATTGTAACTGACTCAGAAAGCATGCTGAGGAAGATCAGAACAGTTATGCTTCGTGCAAAGAGGCGTGCTTCGCTGCGGAGGACACTGGTGAGGAGTATTATCTGGATTTTTTTTTACCGGGGCATGAGGTTCTGGCAGATGCTCGAGGCTCAGAGGAAAGACAAGACGGACGTTTAATCAGAATGCTACTGGCACCATTAGTTTCGGAACTCTTCGCCGGCTGCTGGACATGGGGACGGAACGCTTATGGGAATGCCTCGAGTGCTGTGATGTCGGTTCTTGAATCTAATCAAATCAAATGTAGCGCAGCTGTCTTCTTTGCGTACATCGATGTCACACTCATGTTCGTCTTTAATTTTGCTGCAGGAGAAGTCGATTGGAAGGGTATAGACGAGGAGAATGATGGTCGTGTCGGCAGTAGTGGCGATGATGATGTCTTGCTAGTTGCATGCTTCTCGCGTGACTCTGATGGTGTATAATAAAATCTTTGGAAACAGTTATTCCTGTCTGTACTGTTTTTATTGTGATTCTTCAGCAATGTCACAAACAACATCAATGGTATACGTAAGGCGCTGTGTTCTCCCTACGGCTACATACTTTTAAGGTCGCGTTGTGTTTTTCATCTCTAGTTACTTTGTTAATTGGTTCTAGTGTCTGTAACTGTTACCTGGCTTCTAGTGTTGTCTGGTACTAATGGCTTGATCGTTGACTCTAGCATCTGAATAGTGTTTCTATCCGATGTGTCTCTGTTGACCATGAATCAATGTATCTTGTTGTCTCCGTAGCTCGATGTCTTGCTTCATGTCCTCTCTCTAGTGTCTGTCTTCAAGACTCCATGTGACTGGCTCCTCTGCTTCTAGTGTTGAGCTGACATCTCTACAACTGAAAGTTCTCTTTGAGGGTCTATGTTACTAGTCCCTCCTCTTCTTAGTCTGGTAGACTGAAGGATTTCTTTGAGGGTACATATAACTGGTCCCTCCTCTTCCAAGTCTGGCAAACTGAAGGATTTTTTAAAGAGTTTCTTTCTCATTATTTATAACTTTGATACTGGAATTTTAAGTATTTGTTTTTTTTCTCACTTTGACTGCTTATAGAATATTCTAGCAGGCTCAACTTTTTTACTATGTACGTTCGCCACATGGATTTTTCTAATTGCATCATCTTCTTCTGCATCTAAATATAGTAATTAAACTGACAGCTGACCTCGTGGAGACTTCCAGAAAGCCAAGACTACTGCGTTCACTTTGATAGGGCACGTCAACAATGACATCATATACTATTTATAGATTATTATTTTGCAAAATATTTCTCTGTTAATAACAAACGAAGGTTCTAGAAAAGGGGAATGTCAAGTTCACCAAAACTTGTTGAATCCGGTACATCTTAGCTTTGCACAATATCCTACCTCGTAACAAACAAGTGATGACGTGTCCCTGTTCAGCTCAACACAGAGTCATTACATATAAATTCACATTATCTGGGCGTATAAAATAAATCAACTTTAAAGTCCTCATTCTACAATACCTGCTGGTTAATCCCTGCACTTTAGACCAAGTGGGATTAAAACTGAGACTTTGAAGCATTTCTCTTGTCTCCTAATGTTTTTCATCAGACACACACACACATATAATTTAAATTTGTGTCTTCTGTTTTTGCCAACTAAGCCTTTCCACTAATCAGTGTAACCATTAGCTTGTTCAGGGCCTCATGAACAAGGTGGTTTTTGTCAGCGGTTCCCCTAAGGGACCTTGCTTACTGCAGTTTTTATGCTGCATCTAGTCAAAGGCCTTTTTGTGATCTATAAAACACGTGTAAACCCTTTTCTCAACTTCGGGTTTTTTTTTTTTTTTTTTCAGTCAGCATCTTTAAACTATTGTAACATATGCCAGCGAAAGTTGGAGAATCACAACAGATATGGAACGAATGTTAAATGCAATTGAAAATAAATGTCGGACAAAAATCATAAATATAAAATGGGATGAATTCAAACAGAGTCAGGAGATCAGATAAATGTCTGGACAAATAGCTATATCTACTGCAATAAGACAAATATAGTGGAGAAAAATTAGGAACACTTATTTGTAATAAGTGTTTTGTTCTTTACATGATGTTGCAGAACCAATCCCAGCACTTTCTAGCTGTTGTGGTTTTCCCAGGCAAATTTACGTCCAGTAGTTTGCCATTGCTTCCTGGACTGTCGGCTCTCGGTACCACGGTCGAAACCATCGCAAAACAAACCGTCCGCAGCAAGGATTGAACCCGATACCTCGACATTACCGAGCGCGTTCGCAACGCCTAAGCCACGGACGCCGACTGCAACAAGGTTACAGACCAGTTGTTTCAATGCTACACTATTGTCGTGTATGTGAGGAACAAAACTAAAAAATGGGAAGGGGATCGCCGTGGTGTAGCGGGTAGACACGCATCTACACGTGTAGCTTCCAGATACACACACCTAAATTCACATCTACAGACGCAAACACTTTAACATTCACACAGATACTCACACATACGCACATGTATACACACAAACACAATCCAAATCTGGAGTCACTGATATCCTGTGCCCATCTTCATGTTGGTCGGTCCCTGCCTCTCCTTCCGGGTAACATGCCTAATGCATTTTTCAATCTACCGCTGCACTTGATATCAGCTAGTTCTAAATTCACACACATACACATACATGCACGCACGCACGCATGCACACACAAACATGCATGCACGCACGCACACACACACAAGTAAGGCTCGCTCAGGTACACCCTCTGTGCTCCTTGTTAATTTTACATGGTGAGGCCTTAATTTCGTCCTCGTTCTATGTAAGGTCTGCTGTGATAGGCCGATCAGGCATTGTCTGAATGTAATGAGACCGGGTTTTTGCCTTGTGAACTCTGCCACGAAAATCGCACTAATTACTCGAGGACTGTAAACGTGTGAAATGCATTCACTAACCTCTAAGACTGTGTTCTTCATCCCGTTTACACACACGGATACGGAAAAAAAAAAATATGCTTGAATTATTATGATTCAAGAACAGGTAATTTCGGTAAATGAATAAAAACGGCCATTAGCCCCCTTTCAAACAGTTTGAGGAGTCCTGCCCTAAACTGTGTTTTGGTAAAGGTGGGGGAATTTGGGAAAAAAAAAAGGGGGGGGGGGGGGTGAGGAGAGCTAGAGAGACAACTCTTCGTCAAGACATTATGATCCGAAGGCCATTTCACATCCAAACAGCAAAATCAGCTGTGGGACAAGTTTTGCATTTGCCTTGTTTTATCACGCCATCTACAATATTGTTAATAGGCGCAATAACCCCACCTTTTATCTTTGACAGCTGAAGTGTATTCGAAATGCATGTCTTTCAATTTTTTACGATTTTTTGGGGAAGGCTTTCTAGCTGCAACGTTCATTTATCGTTCCTGACAGTAGATCTATTGAGCTAACTAGTTTTACCTCGTGTTTCAATGAGTCTCTTTCCAATATATCGTCTTTCCCCCATAAGTTAGTTGCGTATCCTTTACAGGACGTTGCAGAACCAACCCTAACAGCCCCTGGCTGTTGTGTGGTTTCTCTTGGCAAATTTACGTCCAGTAGTTTGCCATTGCTTCCTGGACGGTCGGCTTTCTTGATACCACTGTCGAAACCAACGCAAGGCGCATTGCCCGCAACTGGGATCGAACCCGGCATCCCGGCATTTCGAAGCGAAGCGTTCGCATCGACTTGGCCACAGAGCCGACCTTTCCCCCATACATGTTGAAAAAGTGGTTGTCAAGAAATTCTCATGTTCTCCCCCCACCCCCCCCCCCCCTTTTTTTTCCACTTTTTTCCAACTCCTTTTCCGCCTATAAAGTATATACATGACAAAGCAGATGTAGTCAAGGCCCTTTGGGAACAAGCAACGAAATCAGTAAAGAAACAAGATTACTAGGGCTTGGAAAGAATGAGGCACTTGTGTGTAACCAGAGGGTCTAGCCGGCTCACAACTGAGAGGAAAAGCAATACGGAAATGTAACCAGATTGTGACCGGTACCATCAGCATTGGAACTGTGCGCTAACTGCTGAAGATAAGGACGGAGCACGCATAGGAATGCCCCTAATTACTCAACTCAACTATAATTAACCTCTAAGAACAACCATTTGAGAACACATCAGAACACACAGGAAAGCGTTCGAAAAGGAGATGTACAATTACCAGGAATTATGATTGGTGATCATAACATAAGCAACCAACGTTACACAAATAATTTCTTGATGCCTTAGAAATGTGGTTTTACAAAAGAAGTCTCAGAATTCATTAGAGAGCAAAAACAACAACAACAATAAAAGAAAGTTTGAAAGAGGCGAGGACTCAAAGAAGACGTATCAAAAACATCAGCAAAAGAGAATCAACACTGTTTGGTAATTTGAGAGAAAATGTGATAGGCTCGAGAACGCCAAAGATAGCTGTTGAGCAGATTGTCAATTTTGTTTTGTTTGGCCGATACCTTCATTTAATCTTGTTTACAAATGCGGAAAAGTCTGGCCACTGTGTATAAAAAGGTCAGTTCACTCGCTATTTGAGTCTTTTTAACTTCCGGACGCACCCTGTAGGAGACCTATCCAGCTGTTGTGGCTCTGGACATTGGGCTATCCAGCATGGGTATGGGCGACTGCAAGGAAAGGCCGGTTGTCAAACTGATTTCGCTGCGGTGGTATGTTACCATAGTTAGCCCTGAAATTGTCTCTAGTTGTTAGACTGTGTAGATGTGTCGGTGTGTATTCTCGCAAGGATGGCAGGTCGCTATACGTGATTTGTTGGTCTGGTGGCATATTGAAGCTGAACGTACATGTTAAATATATTTCGTTTTTTGCCATTGTTGAAGTAATCTCGCTGAGCGTATTGTGTCATTATCATATTTCCATGTTAGCTGGAAATGATTAGCACTGTAGATTCTGGTCGAGCACGTTGGTTGTTGTAAATGTTGTTATGTTATTTGTTAATCACCCTGACTTTATGTAAAGTAAAATAAACAGCTGTTTAATGTGATGATTATATTTCATTTGCTTGATTTAATTTATGATCTGTAGTCCATGCATGTGGTTCCTCTAGGTGTATGTACCCATGTTGTCATCATGTAGCTCACTATGTAGGTATTCTTTGTCTGGGTCTTAGTTATATATTCTAGGATCCCTGCTCAGAAGAAACGCTGTCTTTTCTTTACTTTCCTGTTTTTTCTGTTTAGCGAGAAAACTATTACATTTTGGACTAATCAAAATTTTCTTTATCTCCCCAATTTCTGTGATTAGAAATCGCTAGAACAAAAAGAAGAAAAGAATCTGGAACATGTTTTGACCACTTGGAAGACCTGACGGAAAAGAGACGGAGGAGGATAACGCGAAAAAGTTCTTCTGTCATGCATAGGGGTGACAATAATTATAATTCACATAATCCCGTTTAATCTTCATTTGTACTGGATTTGTAACTAGATTACAGACCAGTTGTTTCAATGCTACACTATTGTCGTGTATGTGAGGAACAAAACTAAAAAAGGGGGAAGGGGATCGCCGTGGTGTAGCGGGTAGACGCTCGCCTGCGGATGGGGAGGTTGTGGGTTCAGGCTCTGTGTCAATTACGTATGCTCCTAGGTCGATCCAGCCATGAATGGGTACTGGGTACAGTCGTGGAAAGTAAAGGCGGCCGGCGTGATACTGACCACATCACTCCCCGCGTGCCGTATAGTCTGTAAAATATACGACTAGCCTTATATGCCAAATACGCATGAAGGCTTTACTTTTACTAATGTTGTGTCGTGACTCAGTAATAAACGCAGGTGTCTTCCTATTTTTCAGCTACCTCTAGTCATAAACTTAATCCACAATGAGTCTAAAACTGGGATGTTAATCTGAGCCCCCCCCCCCCCTAGCTTATATATATATATATATATATATATATATATATATATATATATATATATATATATATATATACATACATACATACATACATACAGTACGTGGTGTTAATCATATCTTTGAGGGCGAACATAGAAAAAGAAGAATTCTTCTAGAAGCAGGAAATTTAGCTCTTTCAGTTCCAAAGCACTTGTTACTGCAATCTCTTCTATCCCAAAGAGATGAGATTACAGTCAGGAAATACCTAGGTCTGAAGGAGTTCATACCAGAGACACTAAGAGTCAGAAGTGATTCAACTAGTCATTAGGACATTAGAAGTTAATATAAAACATGCATGTGATAGAAGACAGCACGAACATTATGTTTGGCCAGGCTAACAAAAGTATGGTGCGCTGCTGGTTCTGAATGAGTTTTAAAACAATTTAGTTTGGTTCTACAGGGCCATACATACTAAATGGGTATTTGGAAATGGTATAGGTACTTTCTCTTATACACTTGAGGTTTTGAACAACGGATCAACATTATGGCGCACGGGTAGTAACCCATAAGTGCTCAAGTCTGAGTCCGAAGAAGCTCAGCACAGTGTACAGGCTCTGTATCACAGGCGAGGATCCTGAAATACTTTGGGTAGATTTTTAATTTCAAATTTTTTCCCGGGCAACGCCGTTTGGCTACTCTTTTCGATTTCCAACTGCCAAGGGATTCGTTTACGTGCGCAACAATGCACACGGGCGTCCGATCTCACTACACATAGAGCCAGAGAACAGGGGAAATTACAAGAAGTCAAAGTTCACGTGAAAAAAAATCCTAGCCCTTAAGTAAAGTAAGCAAAGGACCCTTTTCCACGCCTTTAGGCTTATAGGGCAAATAGTGCTAGACATATATTTTTATAGAACAATCGGCACAAGATGGGTGATGTGGTCAGCATCACGTCGGCCGCCTTTACTTCCTGGGACTTCACCTGGTACCCACTCAAGGCTGGGTCGACCTGGGAGCCAATGTCATTTTTAAAAAAAGTCCGGCCCCGCCAAGGAGCGAACCCACGACCTTCCGATCCGCGGCGAGCGTCTAGCCGCTCGGCGACTCCTCATTTCAGCCCTTACTGGGGATTGAACCCGGTGCATCGAGCACTTGAGGCGGACACCATGCCTTGAGACAACGCAGCCCTCTCTCTCACACACTAAATGTACCAGAAAATTGCCTGCGCTGTCCACTTTTTTTGGAAAGGCGGGGGGGAAAAAAGGGGAGGGGGGAGGGGAGGGGGGGGGGGTACAATTCTGACGTAAAGCATGCTCATCGTAATATTTCCCCCAGTTTGGGTTTCAGGGCCACATTGTGGGATAAACAAGAATAGACCCACCGCTTTCCCAGCAAGCACCTGATAGAAGCATTTAATTTAGGGATTCCTTGGAAATCTGAGTGCATTTTCCCGAGAGGCAAAAAACCAGGAATCTACTTACAAATAAGCCAGTTGTGTAAAACGGATGTGCACTCAGGTTCTGGAACAAGACTAAATCAGCTCAGAGGTGGAATAACAGCCAATTGTGTCTGCTGGAGTTTACAGCCGGTGAACGCGAATAAGTTATAGTTTGTTTTTTACTCCCTATAAGTACCTTCTGACTGATTATTTTCACTGTATATACTTTCAAAATTCAAAATTTTTGAAATATTAGTGTCTAGTTTTCCTAGTGTAAGGGGAAAAGAACACACCTATTACTACTCAACAAAGAGGTTTTTAAAAGAAAAAGTTAAATCATTAAAAGCTATTGAAATTTTTTTTAAACTGTGTATGTAGTGTTGAAAAATCATGTAAAAGAAAAAGCTATGGGCTTGGAGCAACAATGGCCATTAAAAAAGAGCTTAACCCTAAGCTCGAAAGTAGTTTCCTTGTATGTGAACTTGCTGTTTTTTTACGCCCAAACCGACTTTGTATAATTATAAAAAAATAAAACATATATTTAAGCAGCAGATGTGGTGAAAGGGGTTACGACACGGATAGCTAGGATATGGGCCTATTTGAAGAGTCCAGCAGTTTGCTATTGCCTCTGCACGGTCAGCCCTCTAATACCACTGTAGAAACCAACGCAGCTGGGATCGAACCCGGCACACCGGCATTACGGAGCATTCGCATTGACTTAGCCACAAAGACGACAGCAAATCTAGTAGGGAGGGCAAAAGAAAACATTGTCTATCATTCGGAATATCAAGGTGTCTTTAGGAAGAATAACATCAGGAAAAGTAAACGGAATATTCGGTAGCTATCAAAGTGAAAGGATGGCGACACCCGTAGCTCTTACGAAAGCTATCGTAAAGTCCATATCCCTTCGTGTGCCACAGAGTTTTGTCTTCACTGTGGTTGGAACAGGCTGGATTGCGTTTCTTTTGGTAGCAACCGGTTGACAGTGTTGGAGCACATGCGCAATATTTTCTGGTGCCACCTTACAGGGACACGTCTCCGTGTTTCACTCACCGAAAAGTTTGAACGATACGGAAGCCATCAGAGAATTCTGGAAAGATCGTTATAAAATCCTTCTTTGTCTAAACGTGACTGGGAAAGTATGGCGTCAAGCGTCTTCGAGGACAAAGAATTAAGCTTAGACAAATCTTTGGCCTGAATGTAAACCTGAGAGCGTCTTTAACGGCTTCTGTTACCCTTGAAATCATATCTTTGGGCAAGTCTATGGTTTTGGAAGTTAACCAAGAGGACATCAGCGAGATGGTAGTCGATAACGCAGTTCATTGCTAGTATACCAGCCTTCTTGTAATAAGCACCGCTCGCCTCGGTTCGATGTTCGTTCACTATCCAGGGTATTTTAAGCATTGTTCTGTAATACCACATCTCTGAGGCTTCAAGAAATTGTTTGGCCTGCCTACCGATTGTCCAGGACATACAGCCATATGTTAACACTGGATGTATGTAGCAAGCAAGAATTCTTTTTCTAACCTTCAATGACAAAGATATATCGCATAAGATGTTCTTCATTTCATAAAATGCAGTTTTTGCCTGTCCTATTCTGTTTCTTATTTCACTAATGCATCTTCCATCTGATGTTATCCATGTGCCCAGATACTTAAATTTCCGTACTTGTCCCAAAATAAAACCATTGACTTTTATTACACATTTAGGAGTAATTATTTTCTTTGATACCACCATTACTTCTGTATGCTGACATTTTACTTCACACAATGTAGTACAGAAATAGTAAACATTTAAATACATTTCATGTTTTGCATTCTTCAGTCAGTCAGTCTGTGGTAACCAATACCTAGGAGTGAAAGTATTCTTAGTTTTATAACAAGTAACTAAACTTGTAAATTGTCACTGACAGCTTAATTAATCCATGAAAGCGGCATTAACTTTCCACACACAAAAAATCGTTCCATGTTGTCAGCATTAAGGCAGCTTCTTGTCTCACTGAAAATATTTCCAGCTGTTCTAAACAGATATTTACTTGGTACGCTCGTAGGTGGTGCACAGAGATAACGCTGGACAGTATGAACCAATGTGGGAAATCTTGATATGTTTAATTTCTACCAGTCCAGGAACGGGTGTAAGGTAACCATTATTCGTATTCGGCCGACCGCAACTATTAGGCCGAATACCAAATAGTTATTAGGTCCACTATTCGGCCCCGAAGCGAATACGAAGCGAATATTCGGTACAGCCCTAGTTATTACCCTTGTGCCTTGATGTTGATCCGTTGTCAAATCTTCAAACACAGCTCAAACAGCTGCACCAAGCACTTAACTAGCTCAGGCAGTGAAAGTGTATACTATCATTCATATGTAGAAACTGGATTAGTAAAGTGCTGTCTGCAGCAAAAATAACTTCGAAGCTAAATATTCTGCCACGAGGAATCACCATGTACGGTTAGCTCAATGGCGATGACCAAGGCCATTTTCAATTTCAATTTGATCGCGCTCCAAGCTGTTTCCTTCACAAGTCTGCAAAAACGGTGGATGCTCAAGCTGCTGTAGTAAATCTGCTGCCCTAGGATCCATCAAGGCATTGATTCTCAATTCTTCACAGACCTGAAACAATGTATTACAATGGTGCTTCATAAAAATGATTTAGATGTCTCTATGGACAAATGTTGGCTCAAAACCTTAGTTGGAGGTTCATTTCACAGACTATTCCTTCTGGTTTATGAGTGCAATTTGTAAGGAGATCCTTGGGGATCCACGTGGAGCTACTAAGTGCATGCTTTCCATGTATTCTAACAGATATTAGCCATTTGGCTGAGAGAGACCAAGCCGTATAGGATATAAAATTCTGTGCAATAAAGCTTTGGTTTTTTACTTTAAGCGGAATTCACTGGTTATAACCCCTGCTACAATTAATAAATCAATCAGTGATTATCAATGCTAAATTAATCCATCAGTTTTATCAATGCTGAATCAATCAGTTATTATCATCATCAGGTGCCTTGCCGACTGGCGTGGGCGATCATGCCTCTCCAAAATCTGCAATCTCCTGCAGCAGGTATCAGTTCGTGTGCTGACACACCTCCATGCCATGCAACAAGACTGTCAAGCATCTTCTCTCATTGTCTTCCTCTATCCCTCCTTCCACAGATCTTTCCAGTGGTCACAACATGTTCTTTTTCCCCTCTTCTCATAACATGGCCGAAAAATGATGACCGTCTCATTCTGATGTCTGTGATAAGTTGTCTTCGGGCTCCCGCCTCATTCAAAACCTATTGGTTGCTCTTTTTGGCTGTCCAAGGTATTCTAAGCATTCTTCTGTAAAACCACATCGCTGCGGCCTCAACAAATTGTTTGGCCTGCCTACCGATTGTCCAGGATTCACAGCCATATGTTAAAACTGAATGTATGTAGCAAGCTAGAATTCTTTTTCTATCTCTCAATGACAAGGATATATTGCACAAGATGTTTTTCATTTTATAAAATGCAGTTTTTGCCTATCCTATTCTGTTTATTATCTCAGTTACGCATCTTCCATCTGATGTTATCCATGTGCCCAGATACTTAAATTTCTGTACTTGTCCTAAAATAACACCATTGACTTTTATTACACATTTAGGAATAATTCGTTTCTTTGATACCACCATTACTTCTGTCTTCCCATTATTCAAACTGAGGCCCATTCTTGCACTTTCTATCACCACAATGTCTATCATTTCCTGTAGTTCTTTCTGACTTGTTGCTATCAAGACTGTGTCATCAGCATAACGTAAATTGTTTATATTGTGCCCACTAACCACAATTCCTGGCCTATCAATTCAAGATCTCATTATATATTCACTGTATATATAGAAAACAAATCAGGTGACAGTACACATCCTTGTTGTACGCCCCTCTTTATGCTTTGAAATGTACCTAAACAGTTGTTAATTCTTATAGCTGTAGCTTGCTTCCAATACATATTCTTTATAATTCGTAGATCTTTCCCATCATGCTTCACACAGTCAAATGCTTAATCAGTTATTATCAATGCTAAATCAATCAATCAGTTATTATCAACGCTAAATCAATCAATCAGGTGCTGTCTCCTTAAGGTTGGCTGTAATGGATCTCAAACACTCTTTGTTTCTTGTTCTTATACGGTGAGGAGAGAAGTAGGTCAAAGTGCCACCTAAACAGTCAGACTTGTGCAGGGTCATAATCACGCTGAGCTGGGAATGCAGAGACTGGCCAGCAGGTGCCAGGGAGGTGGAAATTCAGCAATTAATTCAAGATAATGCTCATTCAGAGGATCTGATTTTTTACAGACGGTTCAGTGTCAAGAGTCAAAAGAAGTGCTTGGGGTTTCTTGGCAAAAGTTAATGGTCGATGTTTGGTGCAGGAGAGCCTAGCATTTGATACCACAACATCCAGCTTAAGGATGGAGGTGGTGGCGGTCACCGCAGCTTTACGCTGGTTAGAGAACAGGACACACACACACACATCCTGATTGTAACTGACACAGAAAGCATGCTGAGGAAGGTCAGGACAGGCATGCTTCGTGCAGAGTGCATGCTTCACTGCAGAGGACACAGGTGAGGAGTATTGTCTGGATTTTTTCTCCGGGCAGCATCGGTGTGTTGGGAAATAAACAGTGGGACAGACTGGCTGGCTCTACACAACTTGGTGGAATACTGATGCATTATAAGGCAGATGTAATTAGTGCCTTGTGGGAGAGTGTGTACAGCTGGGAGGAAGAGATGGATCACCACAGTCTGGTGAGATTGATGCAGCGGGGAGTGACGAAGGGTTCTGGCAGATGCTCGAGACTCAGAGGAAAGGTAAGATGGACATTTAATCAGAATGCTACTGGCACCATTATTATTGAAACTCTGTACTGGCTGCTGAAGATGGGGACGGAGCGCTTATGAGAATGCCCTGGGTGCTGTAATGTCAGTTCTTGAATCAACTCAACTCAACTCTCTAAGACGGCTTTTCATCCAATTCTTGATGGTTTCCTCCCACATACATCACTGGAGAAAGAATAGACCTATTGCTCCCTAATAAGGCAACTAATTAGGAGTGTTTTAATTAAAGATCAACCAATAGTCTGCAAACACATAAGCTAGATCTGTAAATGGATGTGCAACATACAACTCAAGGTCGGGAATAAGAACAAAGTCCAGAAGCAGACGACCAACCAGAACTTACTTATGAGAGTTCACAGCCGGTTAGGGCTAAGAAGAAGTAGTTCTTAACCTCAAAACAGCTTTATACAGAAAAACACTGTAACACAGAAATATTTTAAAGCGGAACCATCTTAACTCGGAAACATCATCATCCAGAAACGTATTAATACGGAAACACCTTGACCCAGAAACATTGTAACCTGGAAACATCTTAACCTGGAAACAATTTTACCCTCAGTTAGGGTAAATGACCAAAATTTAACTTTAACTGAGCATAGCAGCATGCTTTTTAGGTATAATCCACATGTTTGCAACTGATCGAAGTCACCATGCCAGTTATATTTTCACAACAGATTTCATGGCACATTAGGCATTCCCAAGCAAGTTTAATTCTCTGATACAGCGGCCATCCCAAGGTACCTCTACTGACCTTTCCCACAAATTATTGGTTATAATGACTGCTATCTTGACCTCAAAGACAGCAGATATACTTCAATCAGCTTTACTCATATCATGTCACCCAATGCCAGTATAGATATCTAACTAAGCCAGACAGAATGACCGGAAGCAGTATCCTTCTATTTCCTATTTTTGTACTTGTTAAACCAGTTTTCACTTGTGACTTGCCTGTTTTAAATTGGACTGGTCCACATGATTGGCAGAAACAGCCACCGAATTGGACAGATTCTCTACATAATGAGGACTTCCTGCAGGAACAAACAGAAGCTCACCTGGAAGAAATAGAATTGTTTAAGGCCACTAATTCATATCCTTATTAACTCTTTCAATACCAAGCAAGTGACTACATTTATTACTTATTCTATGTAAGGTATACATGTCTTAACTGGTTCTGTTACTTTGCTCTATTCTATTGCGTTTATAGAATATCTCACACAGCTGTATTATTTCAACTTAAAATGTATCCGAAATGAGGCTTAATAAAACAAATGTTTTTTTGTTTTGTTTTTGCTTTATACAGCTTTGACTTAAAGCAGGCCACTGTACGTAGAAATGACCTTGGAACCTGCCTAAAATGAGTAACAGGTAGAGTCCTGAGAAGTAAAGGTGGCCAACCTAATGCTGACCTCACTATCCATTGTGGGCTGATTGGTCTTCAAAAAATATGAGTCTAGCATCGTTACAAAATGTGACTGGCTTGAGCAGACCTTGTTTCATTCAAGATGTTAACTGGAATTTTATGAGATAAAAGAAGTACTGCATACACCCAGCAGAACATGAATACTGGATCAGCAGTCTATTTTTCTGAGACAAATATTAGAAACCTGGAGGACCCACAGACTAACCTTCTGGGACAAGGATTAAAAACTAGGAGGACCCACAGACTAACTTTCTGAGACAAGGATTAAAAACCAGGAAAACCACAGACTAACCTTCTGAGACAAGGATTAAAAACCAGGAGGACCCACAGAATAACCTTCTGAGACAAGAATTAAAAACCAGGAGGACCCACAGAATAACCTTCTGAGACAAGGATTAAAAACCAGGAGGACCCACAGAACAACCTTCTGAGACAAGGATTAAAAACCAGGAGGACCCACAGACTAACCTTCTGAGACAAGGATTAAAAACCAGGAAAACCCACAGACTAACCTCCCGAGACAAGGATTAAAAATCAGGAGGACCCACAGACTAACCTTCCAAATTAAAAATCAGGTGGACCCACAGACAAACCTTTCGAGACAAGGATTAAAAACTAGGTGGACCCACAGACTAACCTTTTGAGACAAGGATTAAAAACCAGGAGGACCCACAGACTAACCTTCTGAGGCAAGGATTAAAAACCAAGAGGACCCACAGACTAACCTTCTGAGACAAGGATAAAAACTAGGAGGACCCACAGAATAACCTTCTGAGACAAGGATTAAAAACCAGGAGGACCCACAGAATAACCTTCTGAGACAAGGATTAAAAACCAGGAAAACCCACAGACTAACCTCCTGAGACAAGGATTAAAAACCAGGAGGACTCACAGACTAACCTTTCAAATTAAAAATCAGGTGGACCCACAGACAAACCTTCTGAGACAAGGATTAAAAACCAGGTGGACTCACAGACTAACCTTTTGAGACAAGGATTAAAAACCAGGAGGACACACAGACTAACCTTCTGAGACAAGGATTAAAAACCAAGAGGACCCACAGACTAACCTTCTGAGACAAGGATTAAAAACTAGGAGGACCCACAGAATAACCTTCTGAGACAAGGATTAAAAACCAGGAGGACCCACAGAATAACCTTCTGAGACAAGGATTAAAAACCAGGAAAACCCACAGACTAACCTCATGAGACAAGGATTAAAAACCAGGAGGACTCACAGACCAACCTTCCAAATTAAAAATCAGGTGGACCCACAGACAAACCTTCTGAGACAAGGATTAAAAACCAGGTGGACTCACAGACTAACCTTTTGAGACAAGGATTAAAAACCAGGAGGACCCACAGACTAACCTTCTGAGACAAGGATTAAAAACCAAGAGGACCCACAGACTAACCTTTTGAGACAAGGATTAAAAACCAGGTGGACCCACAGACTAACCTTTTGAGACAAGGATTAAAAACCAAGAGGACCCACAGACTAACCTTTTGAGACAAGGATTAAAAACCAGGTGGACCCACAGACTAACCTTTTGAGACAAGGATTAAAAACCAAGAGGACCCACAGACTAACCTTTTGAGACAAGGATTAAAAACCAGGTGGACCCACAGACTAACCTTTTGAGACAAGGATTAAAAACCAAGACGACCCACAGACTAACCTTTTGAGACAAGGATTAAAAACCAGGTGGACCCACAGACTAACCTTTTGAGACAAGGATTAAAAACCAGGAGGACCACAGACTAACCTTCTGAGACAAGGATTAAAAACCAGAAGGACCCATGCACATATAATGCACCACTGGTATGAAAAGTGTCCTTTTGTTAGTGAGTAAGTCTTATGATAGTGCTAGCAGCGTCTGTGGTTTAGGCGTTGTCAGTCCGACTCATAATACCAACGTACCGCGATCGAAACCCATTGCTGGCTACGTGGATTTTTAATCATGGTATGGGGTATCGTAGGTCGACCCAGCCTAAAATGGGTACCAGGATGTATGTCTTGGGGAAGTAAAGATGGCCGGTGTAATGCTGACCACATTACCCACCTAGTGCCGATTGGTCTGTGAAAATATGTGCACTCTTCCCATACGCCCGATATGCCTAAAGGCTTGAAAAGGGATTTTTCCTTTACTTTTTTTCCCCATGATACTGCTGAACTTGGCAGTTGCTCTCCAGCATTTGTCTCTATACAGAATTATGAAGAATCAATCAATCAATCTTTTTCTTCTCCATCGTTCGTCTAAGTCATGTAACTGTGGTCTGCCTGTTTACAGTGAGTAAAATAAACTAAAGGACCCTTTTCCATGCCTTTAGGGGTATAGGGTATATAGGGCTAGACCTATATTTTATAGACCAGTTGGCGCAAGATGGGTGATGTAGTAAGCATCAACGCCAGCTACGTTTACTTTCCGGGATTGCAGATCAAGAGCCTCCGCTTCTGATGGTACCAGTAACTGTCTGATAGTATTTCCGACTCACCTTTCCCTTGAGTGTCAAGCGTCAGCTAGATTCCCTTGTAAATCTTTGCAGTGCCATTCTCCCCAGATGGTAATGATCTATCTGTGCCTCCACACTGTTAAATGACTCCCAAAGAGCCCTCATAACATCCAGCTTGTCATTCATCAGTTCACCACCAAGCGATGCAGCACCGGCCAGTCTATCTACCTGCTCATTTTCCAACGCACCGGCATACCTTGAGAAAATATCTAAAGGAAGCTAACTACCTGGGACCTCTGAAGTGATACTTGCCACTCTGCACGCAGCATGCCTGTTTGGCATTATCAACATACTGTATTATCAACAGCAATCTAGCCTAGTGGAGCAGCATGAGATGAGTTTTAAAAATAAACACACACACAAAAACAAACAAACAAAAACTACCTGGCTGAAGTACACACTGTCTTGGCTTTGTAAGAGCCAGCAAGGGCCACTGCTCAGCGTCAGGAGAGGACAAGTCTACACTGAATACTGGGTCCATAGAATGAAAATATTGTGGGTAGAGCAATGGTGTGTCATCAGCCTCAAAAAACGTCCATCTAGAGAAATAGAAACATAAGTTTTCTAATGCACAAAGCTGATCTTACTGCTAGACTGTTTCATCTGCATGTTGGTTCTTAATCTTAAATCAATTCAGCATCACAAAAATTGCACACAAAACAATGTTCAGAATTTTCTGGGATTTGAGAAGAAAGGTGATGAGGAAGGGCACTGGATAGCCCACCTCATATTTCATGGAGAAAATATGATAAACACTGGCTAGGCCATCTTATATGTTATGTAGCAGAATGTGTTAAACACTTGTAAGGCTACCGCATATGTCACTGAGTAGAATGTGTTAAACAGTGGGCAGCCCACCTCATATGTCATGGAGCAGAATGTGTTAAAACAGTGGCTAACCCACCTCATATGTCATAGAATGTGTTAAACACTGGTCATCCCATGTCATATTTTATGTAGCAGAATATAGCAGAACATGTTAAACACTGGCTAGCGTCACCTCATATGTCATAGAATGTGTTAAACACTGGTCATCAAATCTCATATGTCATGGAGTAGAATGTATTAAACAGTGGTGTGTCCAATTTTTAGGTCACGGAGTATAATGTGTTAATCACTGCAGAGCCCACCTCATATGCCATGAAGCACATGTGTTAAACACTGGCTAACCCACCTCATATGCCATGGAAAAGAATGTGATAAAAACTCGTTACATAAATATATATAACGGTTTGAATTTAGATCCAAGCTTTTACCTCTTCTCTCCCTGGAACAAGGCCATCCAAAAGTGTGAAGCAAACGCATCAATGTGAAGACTGCTGACTGTTCCTTTTGGTGCAATGAACAAGCTTGGCCAGCTGTCATGATATAATGAGCCTGGCAATGTTTTCTGCAGATAGTTACCTGGCAAATAAAATCGTTAAAACTGGGCAATTAGTAATCATTCTGCAATCAGTAATGATAATCTTTTCTTTATGTTCAAACACTTGACGATTCATCATCTTTTATGTGTGTTGAAACCGGACAAGGGTTATCTTAATCTTTATTATTTTTTAAAATAACAAAAAAAAAAAAAAAAAAAACACCACTAATCTCCTTAAAGTTCAAACTGAACAACAGTAATCTTTTTTTATGTTCAAACTGAACAAAAGTAATTTTTTAAATATTTAAACTGGACAATTAGCTATTTTGTGAGCGTTGAAACTTGACAATTAGTAACTATTTTTACTTCACAATTTTGGTTAAAATGAAAAGAAAATACTGCAAATCAGCTGTAATTAAAATCATTATGCCAGCAAAGTAAACCCATTTACATGCATCTTGAAACAACAAGAGGTACTCTCCAGTAAATAAACTTAAACCACCAGGTTCTACAACATTAACAACTAAATGAAGAATGGATGCTGAGAAGATAGTAATAACATATTTAAAACTCGCAGAAACTTCAAAGCAACAAACATGTCCATTTTTACACAACATACCAGAGAAATACTTAGGTAAAGCTATATCTTTTGCTAGCTGGGGACAATGTATAGGCAGACTCCAGTCAAATAAATAGTCACTGGTCTGACCCCCCTTGACCTGGTCAATGAACTCTCCAACTGTGATTTCTCGAGACTGCTCAAGTTTCGCCCACTCTACAGACAGGGGTACAGCACATTTCACTGCAGCCTTCACTGATCCTAGGAACGAGGAGATAAAAAAATTAAAGAAACAGAAAAATGGAAACAAAATAATTGCCTCCTTAATATATAAAATATAACATGGCAAGCTGAATGTAAAATAAATACTGTAAAAAAGAGGAGACAAATAATGAAACAAACTACTGTTATGCTGTCACCTACCAGTGAGCTCCACTGCTTACAGACATCCAAATGTCTCCCTTCCAGGAAAACAGCGAAGGAGCAGTAGCATCTTTATCCGTACTTTATGTTATAAGTGCTATTCCGGCAATTCCTGCAACGTCCTCGATGCCAAGTTGTACTGGTTTTTGCCTTTCCCTTGGTATCACCGGCGACGTAGAGAGGGGGTACTTGCTGCCTGGGCAACAGTCTGTACTCCATATCAAAACGCCCTGGTCTGTGCCCTGGAGAGGTCACTCCAGCGATGCTTGATAATACAAAAATGAAGGTTTATGAGTCTTGTGTCCTGAGCACATTACTGTACGGCTGCGAATCCTGGACTCTCTATGCTCCACAGGAAAAAAGACTGAATACCTTCCATATGCGCTGTCTGAGACGCATCCTTGGTATATTATGGCGAGACCTTGTCTCCAACGAATGTGTGCTCACAAGAGCAAAAATACCATCAATGTATTGTATACTGAAGCAAAGACGTCTGCGCTGGCTGGGTCATGTCTCCCGCATGGAGGATGGTCGTATTCCAAAAGATCTCATATATGGTGAATTGTTGACTGGGAATAGACCTACAGGAAGGCCAAAGCTGCGCTATAAAGATGTATGCAAACGTGACCTAATAGATACCAACATAGGCACAGAGACATGGGAAAAATCATCTGCAGATCGACTATTATGGAGACAGAAAGTGAAAGACGGACTGTCACATTTTGAAAGAAACCGAACACAACAAGATGTGGAGAGAAGGAACCGGAGAGTAAAACTGCCTCACAACGAGGGAGTATCTGCTTGTGTGTGTATCCTGTGTGGCAAAGACTGCCATTCCCGCATTGGACTTTACAGTCACAGCAGATGCTGTTCCCAAAGCCAGCGGCACATCTCCATAGTCCCCCGGGACTGACGGATGCCATTAGTTATTAGTTATGTTATAAGTGCCAAACATGGACAATGAATAGGATACTAGAATAGAAAATAACTACATGTGAAATGCGCTGTCTCTGCAAGGTCACTAACTACACAAGAAGAGACACGGTTACGAATACCAGCTTTAGAGAGAAATTCAGAATAAAAATCCATGTCTGGATCATATTGAAAAACAAAGAATGAAATGTTTCAGCCAGCTAGTGAGAATGCAACCAGACAAAACTGATTACTTTTTACAGCAAAATATCTGAGAGGAAGGCGAGAGGAAGACCAAGAAGGATGGGGATAAACGGTGTAGCTGAAACCTGCAAAAAGATGAATAAATCCATCACTCAAGCCACCCGAGAAGTGTAAGACAAATTTAGAAAAACTACGGCACTGGGCTACACAACCTGGTATCAGTGAGACGACAAAAGAAGAATAAAAAGTCTCATGTATAAGAAAGTTATGTGTGAATATGATTCAAAGTTATTTGTGAGCATGATATAAAGTTATGTGTAAACATGATAAAAATGTATGTGTTAACATGATACAAAGTGTAAACATGATATAGATTTATGTGTGAACATGATACAAAGTTGTGTGAACATGATACAAATGTGTAAATATGATATAAAGTTATGTGTGAACATGATATAAAGTTATGTGTGAACATAATACAAAGTTATATATGTACATGGGATACAAAATTATGTGTAAATGTCGAATAAAGCTCTGTGTGAAGATAATAAAAAATTATGTTTGAATTTCATAAAAAGCTATATGTGAACATGATACAAAGTTATGTCTGAATGTCATAAAAAGCTATATGTAAACATGATACAAAGTTATGTCTCTATGTCATAATAAATCGATATGTGAACATGATACAAAGTTATCACTGAATGTCATAAAAAGCTATATGTGAACATGATAAAAAGTTATGTCTGAATGTCACAAAAATCTATTTGTGAACACAATACAAAGTGATGTCTAAATGTCATAAAAAGCTATAATGTGAACATGATATAAAGTTATGTCTGAATGTCATACAAATCTATATGTAAACACGATACAAAGTTATGTCTGAATGTCATAAAAAGTTATGTCTGAACATTATGCGTATAGTGTTACACTCGTATTTTACAGACCAACTGCCACTTTATGGGTGATCTGAGCTAAATCATGAAGGTTGCCTTTACTTCGCATGCTATTATTTGATACCTCGTTTAGGTTGGTCAACCTGACAGCTGAGGTCAATTAGGAATTTTTAAAATCATACTATTTTTTCTCTTCAAATACATGATAACAACTAGATAGGGAAAGGATAAAAACTCCGGCCACATACAAGTCGATAATATGAAAATCAAACAAAAGGAAATGTATAAGTACTTGGGTGCAAACTTTAACTGTTGCAACATGCTGAGAGAAGAAATACAATCTAGAATACAATCTGTAAATAAAGTATACAATTCACTTCAACATCTGCTGAAGTCAAAGTGTCTGTCTCGCAACACCAAGATCAAAATATATAAAACGATAAGAACAGTTGTGTTAAATGGCTCTGAAACTTGGAGCACAACTAAAAGAGATGAAGCCTTATCACAGGTTTTCGAAAACAGAGTCTTACGACGAATCTTTGGACCTGTCAAAGATGCAAACAGCGGTGAATGGAGAGTGAGAAGCAACAACGAAATTCATAATCTGTTTAAATCACCACTGATCACTGGCATCATGAGAGCTAATAGACTGAAATGGTTGGGGCATATCGAAAGAATGTCAGAAAACAGAGAAATAAAAACTGTAAACACTAGGGAGAAGAATAATAGTAGACCACAAGGGAGACCAAGAAGACGATGGAGAGATAATATCCAGACAGACCTGCAAACACTTGGTGTTACCAAGTGGAAAGAGAAGGCCAACCAGAGAGATGAAAGGAGGCGGGTGATATCTGCAGCAATGAACCTCAAGGGCTCAGAATGCTGAAGAAGAAGAAATTTCTGTTCCATTTAAAAAAAACACACACACAAAATCAAAGGTGCGTCTTACACATGGGATCCTCTTATTGTTGAGGAAATATGGTATATCATAGTTTGTTTTGAATTTATCACATAAAATTAGGCAAAAAAGATACAAAATAAATTATATCACAGTTCTGTTTTCAATACATAGCAAAAAAATGTAGCAAAAATAGACAAACCTGCGACTGATTTAACAAAGTCTAAATTCCAGGATGATGTGGTCATATCTTTCACCACATCTAAAAGAATCACTGGCTTCCTCTGATGCAGAAAGTGTTCAATGAAATCTTGAACTCCAAGATTACTGGCAGATATTCTATCCACCTAGAATGCAAAGTAAAGTAAACAAGCAAAGAACTTCTCTCGTGTTGTTGGTGCTGTATGCATATGGTGCTAGACCCATATTATTAGAGATCATTTGGCAGAAGGCTGATTACTATTATTATAGATCAATCAGCACAAGGCCCCTAATGTTATAAATGATCAACCAGCACAAGGACCATATTATTATTATAGATCAATCAGCACATGGCCTATATTATTTTTATAGATCAATTAGCACGAGGCCTATATTATTATTATAGATCAATCAGCACATGGTCTATGTTATTATTATAGATCAATCAGCACATGGCCTATATTATTTTTATAGATCAATTAGCACGAGGCCTATATTATTATTATAGATCAATCAGCACATGGTCTATGTTATTATTATAGATCAATCAACACAAGGCCTATATTATTATTATAGATCAATCAGCACATGGTCTATGTTATTATTACAGATCAATCAGCACATGGTCTATGTTATTATTATAGATCAATCAGCACAAGGCCTATATTATTATTATAGATCAATCAGCACGAGGCCTATATTATTATTATAGATCAATCAGCACATGGTCTATGTTATTATTATAGATCAATCAGCACAAGGCCTATATTTTATTATAGATCAATCAGCACGAGGCCTATATTACTATTATAGATCAATCAGCACATGGTCTATGTTATTATTATAGATCAATCAGCACGAGGCCTATATTATTATTATAGATCAATCAGCACGAGGCCTATATTATTATTATAGATCAATCAGCACAAGGCCTATATTTTTATTATAGATCAATCAGCACGAGGCCTATATTATTATTATAGATCAATCAGCACGAGGCCTATATTATTATTATAGATCAATCAGCACATGGTCTATGTTATTATTATAGATCAATCAGCACATGGTCTATGTTATTATTATAGATCAATCAGCACGATCCCTATATTATTATTATAGATCAAACATCACCTGATGAGTGATATGGCCATCACTACACTTGTCATCTTTCTTCCATCCATTGCCTTTATATTCAAGGGTTATCTATGTGCACCACCTACGAGCGCACCAAGTGAACGTCTGTTTAGTACAGCTGGAAATACCTTCAGTGAGAAAAGAAGCTGCCTTAATGCAGACAACATGGAACGATTGGTTTTGTTGAAAGCTAATGCTGCTTTCATGCATTAACTAAGCTGTTATGACATTTTACAAGTTTAGTTACTTGTTATAAAACTAAGAATACTTTCATTTCTAGTTATTAGTTACCACAGACTGACTGACTGACTGAAGGATGCAGAACATAAAATGTTTATGTTTACTATTCTGTAATACATTTTGTGAAGTAAAATGTCAGCGTACATTTGACATTATGAATGTTTTTTAGATCTATTTTATACAATATACACCATTCGAAAGTGGAAGAATGGGCCTCAGTCTGAAAAGTGAAAAGATCAGAAGTAATGGTGGTATCAAAGAAAATATTTATTCCTAAATGTGTAATAAAAGTCAATAGTGTTATTTTGGGACAAGCACAGAAATTTAGGTATCTGGTCACAAGGATGACATCAGATGGAAGATACATTACTGAAATAAGAAAAAGAATAGGACAGGCAAAAACTGCTTTTTATAAAATTAAGAACATCTTAAGCAATATATCTTTGTCATTGAAGCTTGCTACATCTATCCAGTTTTAACATATGGCTGTGAGTCCTGGACAATCGGTAGGCAGGCCGGCTCTACTGGCAAATTTGGCCGGTAAGTTGGACTGCTTCGGCCGGCTTAGCGGAGCTTAGTGGGAGTTATGTCCCTTCGCGTCCCTTCGCCAAACTCAAAACAAGTCGCGGAATCAAAGTCACGAATCAAATGACATACTTACCTATCATCATACGGTTGCGCGTAGGGCTGCGTAGGGTGTCTATCATCATCATACGGTTGCGTGTAGGGTTGCGTAGGGTTTGGGTTAGGGGTGTGGGTTAGGGGTAGGGTTAGGGTTAGGGTTAGGGGTAGGGTTAGGGGGAGGGTTAGGGGGTAGGGTTAGGGTTAGGGTTAGATGATGTGAAAATATTCACGTAGGAGGTGGAAATACTGGCCGACAATCTGATGCTTGTGGGAGTGGCGCCACTGGAAGTGTGCTAAATATGACGGCAATAGCGCGCGGCGGCTGGTGCATCAATCGGTGGCGAATTGTCCTTGTCAGTAGCATCCACCGTCAGTCGACTGTTTGCGCGTGCATGCGACTGTGTGCGATTGTAGGGAACTACGGCGTCACAATTGTCACATCTAAGGCTACACCTAACCCTAAACCCTAACCCTAACCCCTAACCCCTAAACCCTACACCCTAACCCTAAACCCTAACCCTAAACTCTAACTCTAAACCCTAACCCTAACCCTAAACCCTAAACCCTAACCCCTAAACGCTAACCTTAACCCCTAACCCTACCCCTCATCTATCTTACGCAAACAAACAACCCTACACGCAATAAGCAGCCCTACACGCAACCGTAGGACGATGATAGACACCCTACGCAACCCTACACGCACCCGGATGATGATAGGTAAGTATGCCGTTTGATTCGTGACTTTTTCCGCGACTTGTTTTGAGTTGTTTTGAGTTTGGCCAAGGGACATAACTCCCACTAAGCCCCGCTAAGCCGGCCGAAGCAGTCCAGCTTACCGGCCAAATTTGCCAGTAGAGCCGGCAGGCCAAACAATTTCTTGAGGCCTCAAGAGATGTGGTTTTACAGAACAATGCTTAAAATACCTTGGACAGCCAAAAAAAGCTACCAAGAGGTTTTGAAAGAGGCGGGAGCCCAAAGACAACTAATCACAGACATCAGAAGAAGACAGTCATCATTTTTCAGCCACGTTATGAGAAGAGGGAAAATGGAACATGTGGTGACCACTGGAAAGATATGTGGAAGGAGGGATAGAGTAAGACAACGAGAGAAGATTCTTGACAGTCTTGTTGCATGGCATGAAAGTGTGTCAGCACATGAACTAATACATGCTGCAGGAGATTGCAGATTGTGGCGAGGCATAATCGCCTACGCCCGTTGGCTAGGCACTTGATGATGATAGTTAGTCCCGCTATTCATATTCGGCCAGTATCCTCCCAAATATGCTTTTCTGCTTTAAGCCACTGGCACAATTGAGATGTCAGGTTTGATATATACCTCCCAACATTTGGACTTAACAAATAAGAACCTACAACTCATGCTTATTTTAGAGACTACTTTTAATTTAATCCATATGTAGGCCATCAAAATCTATTTTTATCAGCGGCAGCATTAAAAAACTAGCCAAATGAGGCTTGCTGCATACTGTGACACCTTTCACTATTACACACATGGCTAAGGAAAGGGAAATACAGAAGAATGATAAACAATGCTTTCACCTTTAACTCTGACTCACGCTCAGGGAAATGGGATGAGATGAGAAGATCGAATAAGATGTAACAGATACCTCTAATGGTGTAGGAAAAACTCTTGGAACTGTGTTAATATACTCCATTCTCTTTTTCTGAAGGCTAATCATCTTGTACTGTTGCTGAAGCTTTGCTTGCAACCATCTATTTGTCGAACCTTTGAATTGACAGACCAACAATTAACAACCACTGAACTTGTAAAGTTATATAATATTTAATATGTAACAACACTGGGTTCAAATTTAAATGGTGCTAGACATTTTTTTTTAAAACTAACTTTAACTCCTAGGTTCGCTCAGCCTTAGATGGGCACCAAGTAAAAGCCATGGGAAGTAAAGGTGGCTGGCATGACCACATCACCTACACAGTTCTGATTGGCTTGTGAGGGTGTTGGAGGGGGGGGGGGGAATGATCCTAGCCCTATATGCCAAATACACCTGAAGGCATGGAAAATAGTCCTTTATGTAACAACATTTCTGAATTTGAGAAGTTTAATACTTAATATAAAATATTACATGAATTACTGGGAAATGTCTGGTTATGTGCCACTCTTGTGCATCAACACTGATCTATAGTATGAAACAACATCATAACACTTTGTCCCCATCTTCCATAATGTTTGACAGCAGGGATTATTCTTTCCTCCTTACGCCTTCATTTGTGATCTAGCTGGGCTAAAATATTCACAGGATTCGCCTCTAGTTTATGTGTCATCCTTGCTTTCAATTTGCAACACACAGCTGTCATCATAGCTTGTGTGTAGGGTGAGTGCAGTCAAACTTGTCACATTGAAAATATCAAACAAACTAATATTTTATTCAACCCAATTAGCTCATAGCAAGTCTATAGGCTGAAAAAAAAAGCACAATGGATGAACAGACTGTAAGCCCTTATGTGACACACAAATATAACAGGATTATTATGATGACATACCGTCAACAAACGTATCCACTTACTGGCTGGGTCCAACTCAACAGCTTTTGAAATTTCATCTAGAGCCAGCTGATAATTCCCCAGCCAATCATCTATGCTTGCAATGGCTGCATGAATGTCTGCTCTGTTCCTGAAACAAAGCTTCCTAGACTTTCTCTGTAGTACTTTTCTTTCTTCCTGCAGATATCTCTTACAGTCTGTTGTTCTAATGGAAATAACATTTGAAAGTGGTGCAAGGAAAAACATATAACAATGAAATTAATATCATGAATTATTACCAAATCTGTCTTGAGAGAGAGAAAAAGGGAGGAGAGAGGAGGGGGATGGGAGAGAAAATAATGGAGAATAAGAGAAGAGACTAATATAAAGATAGAGCAGGAACAGCCACCCACAATGAAAAAAAAAAACACACACACTCACATACAGACAGAAAGGCACCCACAAATATAATGCAGACATTACCAAAAGTGGAGAGAGATAGACAGAGAGAGAAGAATGAGAGAGGGGAAGAAAGGGAAATAAAAAATAGGCAGTGACCCTCTAACCTCCCGACTGTATATATATATATATATATATATATATATATATATATATATATATATATATATATATATATATATAATATATATATATATATACACACACATACACACACAGAGACTCAGAGACAGACACAAATATTGAAAAAAAAAAAACACACACACACACACAACAAATATGAAGCAAAAGCTACAGTTCATATTTATGTTATGCAACACAAGACACTAATTCTGGGGAACCCACCAACAGGCTGTACATGGATTTACTTGAATAGTATGCTATCCTCTGAAAAATGGCCCAAATTATCGAGGCCGAAAATATACCCTAACAGGGCCCCAGTCACTTGTAAACTGCAGACTTCCTGCAACTTAAATTGCGGATTTCTTTCAACTACTGCCACCGCCGAAAGTATCTCCCGCGCCACTACACACGGCACTGAGCGGGGCTAAACTAGATAGCTGGAACTCAGGAGCAGCAGCTACCGCATCTCCTGCAGCTTCCTTCATTTTAATTGCTCATGTCCCAGAAATCTAGTTTAGCCCCACTTCATGCCGTGCGTAGCGGCACGGGAGATACTCTTGACGTTGGTAGCAGTCGCCAGAAGTTTGCAATTTACATGTGACTGAGGCTCTGTTAGGGTATATTTTCGGCCTCGATAATTTGGGACCGTTATTCGGAGGATAGCCTAATAGTAGGTAAAGGGCCCATTCCTCTATCTTGTGTGTACTGTTTATACGGTGCTAACCAGCTTTTTTTTTTTCCCAACAATATACAGTACCAGCACCTTTTTTTTTCTAAGGAATAGTTTACATCTGACAATATGTTTAATGTGTGGTGGCACTAATGTAATTGTCAATTTGTGGTCAGTACTGTCAACTTTTTCTAATAAGAAAGAACTGCTGTTTAACCCCCCCCCCCCCCCCCCCCCCCCCCTTGAAATTTTTTTTTATGGACCAACTGGTACTTGAACTAGTGGGTGGTGTCAAAGAAGTGCTGTGGCTAGTATCACAGTGAACTAACACTGGCTAAATGCATTTTATCAGATGTGAATAATACACCTTGATATGTGAAACAACATTGTGTGTGGACTGCTTTTCGCCAACAACGACTCTGCATGGCGATGTTGATTACTCCGCCACCATCTTGCTACTCTTGAAGCTGCCAAGGGTTCACATTCTTGGCTGGTCTCTCCCTTATCATTATCAGTGTTGAGAATCAAAGCTTCACGAGTATAGTCATTTGCTTTAATCTGTGTCGGGTTTGGCGTTAAATTTTTATCTTCTGTCTTTGCCTTCTTAAACAGCGGTTCTATAGAATCAGATTGCAATCGTTTATACAGCTTCTGATGTTCCAGGTGTGTAAGCGTGAGAGTTTGCGACATGAGGAACAGTTGACTTTGATCATCAATTGTTGTATGTTCTGTCCCGAGTTTCTGTGATTGGACGTCACTGCTAGAATTATCTGTTCCCTTTGCTAACGTTACAGATTTATTACTTGGAGTTTCAGTGACTGGCCATTCTGAAATTGGAATAATTATCTCGTAATTTGTATCTTCCATAGCTCGACTTCCAGTCTTATCCCAGACTATCTTAAATTTGCTTAAATCCTTGCTATTCGTCGAAGAATTCAGAGTTACATCCCATAAGGGAGCAATCATTTTTTTAATCGGTGGCCCACTAATATATTGAGGCTGAACTGGGTATTTGGAATTTGCGTTTAGTTGGCTATCCATATTGAGATTTTGTAGATTAGAATCTCAGAGTGATTGACCGATTAACTGAAGAAAAGAAGTACACCTTGAATAGTAGTAGTAGTAGATTGTTACCCCACTGAGACATCACACAAGCGATAAACACCCGATGGCATAAAATGCCACCATGTGGATGAGGATCACCGTGGAGATGTCACAGAAACCGCGTTCAGCCATTAGACCATATTTATGGTCGGGCTATATTGCGGCCCCTGGCAAGAGCCAAAGTAGGGCTTCTAATAAAGAAAAATTGCATCTCACAAGGAGATGACTGGATTACTAAAATACACCTTGAAAAAATCGTGTAAGAGAATGGGTGCCCACAAGGAGAAACTGGATTAATTACATTAAAGAATTATACTTCTAACTTCTTCTTCTTCTTCTTTTTCTTCTTCTTCTTCTTTGCGCTCACAGCAGCCGCGTTAGTGCAGTCGATAAGAGGCCCACTTTCAAATCCAGCTGCGACTCGCTGCAGCCACGATCGGTGTTCGAAACCGGGCGACTCCCGGGGTTCACCCAGCCTCTATGAAATGGGTACCAGAGTTGACACTCTGGTGTAAATGGAGGAACGTCGCTGTAGCTACAGAGTTACGTGCGAACGGCGACACAGGCGAACAATTCTTATCAGCTGTCCGTTCTGGTGGCAGAGCACTTATGGTTAATAACCGTGTGCAATGACGCTGTTTCACATCTCCCGACTTTACCTTTACTTTAGCAGTAAACTGTAATGGAAACTCGCGGTCGTGATTGCGTGTCATTTATCCCCTCCGAAATGCTACCTTGAATGTCTGACACTATGACACGAGATCTCAACACGGACGCAAACTAAACTAGATTGTCGTCTGTATGACTTTCACATGGGACAGTGATAGGTATTTTGTGTGGTTTCTGCTTTACGGGAATTGAACATGGGATGCGGAGCTAATTGGTCTCGCAATAACGTATAGACGTTCTCATTTTACTTGTGTAATGATTATTTGTACATTATTTCAAATATGTTATTTTATTTATTTACCAGTAGCAGATAATAATTTTATTTTAAAACCAACGTCGTCCCCACGTGGGACGCAATTTTTGTAATTTTGAAGCCCCACTCTGGCTTTTGCGGGTGCCGCAATATAACATAACTGTTGAACACGGTTTCTGAGACCTTTCTATGGATGATCCTCACCCACATAGCATTTTGTGTCACCGGGTGTTTATGGCTTGTTTGATGTCCTGGTGGGGTTAAACTTTCAACTACTAATAATTATAAAATTTCGCATATGGGTTCTGAGGCTCTGTTGTGGGGGGGGGGGGGGGTTGAAGAATGGACCCACTGATTACTCAACAAGCAAGTTGTAAGAGTAATCTAATTGGTGGTTTTCTTTGAAGTCGGAGTTTATTTGAATGAGAGGCAAGAAACCGACAGTCTGCAAACAAATAAATCAGATATGTAAAACGGATGTGCACGCAACACCAGGTTCTGGAACAAGTCCAAAGTCCGGAGGTGGGTGAACAACCAGAACTTTTCGTCATAGTTTACAGCGGAGGAATAGAAAAAAGAATGATAATAATAATAGTAATCATAATTGCGCACCAAAACAAAGCGTATGCCCGATGAGCGCCCTCTTGAAAATTATAGGATAAAATAAAATGAATTAATAGTTTGTGTGCATTTGCTCCCAAAGGGCCTCGACCATGTCTAGCTTGTCATGCATCTCTGTGGTACAGCACCAGCCCTACTAAATGTTTGTAGCTTTTCCAACAAACCCGAATATCCTGTGTCTCGCCCGACACGGGGTCTCCATGGCGTAGTCGCTTGCATTGAAGGTCGCGGGTTCGTTTCACGGCGACGCCGTTCATTTCACAAGTGAACTGAGATCCCTAGGGATCGTCGCCGGAGCTAGAGAGGTTGTGCTCTGTACGAAGATCTTGGCAGGCAGCTAACTGTTCTGCCGAAAGAGACTGAACCGTATGGGATAAAACTCGATTTATTGAATTTGATCCTTTTACCTTTACCTTTACCTCTACACTCAGAGGAATGGCCAGACGGACATAAATCAAACTTCTACTGGTACCTCTGGCACGGGACCTTTTCGATGGCTGCTGAAGACGAGGACGGAGTACTTACTGGAATATCCCGAATGCTGCGATAACGCTGCTCAATTAACAGGCTATTCAGACATTAGGGAGTAAAGCAACAATTGGAATAAAACTGGTTATTTAACAAACCGAATGACGCAAGTGGAATATGAAATGCATTTCTACAAAGCAGTCACTAAAAAACGCATACCAAATGCTAAATGATGCAAGATACGACCCTTAACAATGTAGGTTCGGAGGCCCGTGTGGTTGGGGGGAGGGGGGGGGAGGTGGCAATAGAACTACTGCCTCGCCAATAAAAATGTCGTAAAAGGCGAGTAGTTTGCTCAAATATAATGTGTTCGGTCACATTTTAACAGATATCGCCGCCTAGCTGTAACCACAACATAGCGTGCCAATCGCTCTTTTTCGGGGCAGCCAAAAAAAAAAAAAGAAGAAGACACGGTCCCTACTATTTGAGGGGTTCCTTAGCAAATCAAAACAGCCTTAAAACCAGAGCTGCCAGTGATACTGCTAGCACTAATGGCGGCTGTACCTGTGAGCTCAAGTGCACTGTAAATGATTTGATTTGATTCAAGAACCGACATCACAGCACCCATAAGCGTTCCGTCCCCATCTTC